GATTGGTGGCGTCTTGCGGTTGATGGGGTGCCTATGTTAGGAAATTCCCATCTTAGGATGTCGCGCCCAACGATGTGTGGTTGTGGAGGTTATCCAATAGGTTCAGTGGGAGGTGTATCCCCTCGCTATCATCATTTCTGGGCCTGTCCGGTGGCACAGGCAATAGCAGATCAACTTACTCTTTCAATAGGATTGCCAGTCTCAAGGGAGCAACTTTGGCTTATCCAAGCCCCACAATCAGTGCAACAATGTGTTTGGGATGTTGTGGCTCTTGCTGCGGTGTCAGCCATGGAGCATGGGAGACGTTATATGGCTGCAAACATGAAAACCAACCCGGCACTGTTACCTGGTCCTTCCCTTACGGAAGAAGCAATTTGTCGAGTTATTGTTGATTTTTGGGGCCGCATTCAGGGTTTCGCAGCTTTAGGAATTCCACGAAAAGGTTGGGAATCCGTTGGCGCACATCACCCCTTTTTGAGGATTATATCTGGCAAATTGATTTGTTCGCGAGAGCGGTTACCGATGAGAGGTTAATTATCTGAGATGATAATCTTTTGGTATATTAGTCTCTACTGCAGTGCACGGCCAGCTGGCCCGATGGCTCTACTCTTCGGGAGTCTGGAGCCCACTGTAACAACCACACACACACGTCATGTATACGCGTTGCTTAGCTTGCAACGACACGCGCCCACGATGAAAGCTTCAGCTACACTCACAATACATTATACTGCTACACTATTCTCTCCAGTCCTACCACATTATATTTCACCGACGTACTTCCGCACCTTCCACATCACCATACGTGCTTTGGAAACGCGGGCAGCTGCTTCACAAGGGGCCCCATCTTTTGGAGCTCGGTTAATCTATCTTTAATTTTTAAGAGAACAAGTGTTTTCAAGATGCCCTTGGTTACACTAGCATTTCCCCAAGGCAAAAGCCTTGCTAATCAGGATGTTTTGTCCTCAAACTGCCAAATTATAAAGCAGGCATGTCGCAAATCATCAGATGGAACTTACAATCCAGCCAATCGCAGCATGGGGTTCTGAACTTGGTGTTCAGGATGCAGGACTACGCAATTGGAGGGGTCAGTTCACGGATTCACGTAATGATGAGGCCACTAAAGCAGAGCTAAAAGCTCATGTTGAAGCACTGCAAAGCTTGGCATGCTAACGGTTGCATCATGGTCCTGTCGTGAAAGCGTAATTTCGTGCTTTTCTATCTGAACCTGGCATCAGGATAACGAATATACCACGTGGATTGGAAAAATTGACACGACCCAGGTTCGAACTGGGGACCTCCTGTGTGTGAGACAGATGTGATAACCAACTACACCATCGTGTCATAGATGACTTTTAGTGAAAACTGCCAATATAACCAATAAGCGAGCCTTACGTCTCAATGACCTCGAAGCAAGAGCACAATTTGCTGTCCTGGTCTTCTGCTGCTTCCGTCCCCTGGCATGAAGTACGTTCATAGGTTTTGATGTGTGTTATAAGTTTAAGTATATATAGATGTATAAGTATGTATATATAAGTACGTATAAGTATGTATAACTAGGTCTGCGTATGTAGAAGTATGTGTAATCCGTGGGACGTTTGTTACAAAGAAAGATCTGCGCGTCATAAGTGTATGGTAGACATGTAATGTAATTTTATAAAGACGAGTTAGAAATGTCATAGGTGTTAGTTTGTTAAGCAGCCCCTCGCACAAATGTGTCCGGTCGTACTGTGCCGAATAAACAGACCGTACAAAATGGCCCAAAGACAGGACCGAATTTTAACGCGCGGATACAAGTGTATATAAATTTTCTTAGAAGAAACGCCGCGGTGCAACAGCGCGAATCGCAGGAAGGCATGCTGGCCACAGGCGCACGCGGCATGCAGCCCGGACAATGGGATGCCTGCTTTGCTGTAATTGAAAGCACAGAAAGCAAACAACGTAGCTTGCAAGACTGGGCGCTTGAAACGACCGCGGGAAGAGGAAGCGTTTGGCGAAGCGGCAGTTTGCGCAAGCAAACGGGCGCGGATTCGGTAGTGCAACGTATACAGCACCTTTTTCAGAGTAAAGTCAAATTACAAAGTTGCGCAAAGGATAACATACATAAACTTAATTAAACATAAGAACAGATAAGACGTTTAGAGCCTTGTCGGTGACATGGACGCCGCTGTTGGCTTGGAACAGCTATTTGCTGTGCATAGGGACGTGCCCGCGTTAGCCGTGTTGCAACAGCTCAGGATGGATTTCAGCCAGCAACAGCCTCAAGAGCTGCTGCACAACCACCGGGAATGTCTTCAGTTGGGCACGTGTAGTTTTGGTCGGCGGGGTCGCATTGCGCACAGAAACCAAGGTGCAGCGTCTCTGTAACATCGCCTACATATCCGGTACGCGGTGGCAGGCTTGCCGAGCACGAAATGAAGGGGGGGTCGCATCTCACCATTCAACTAAGCATGCATGCACCCTAAGTTTACCCCTATCAGGATGTTTGTTTGCATATCCCTCCAAGCGAGAGGGCTTGGACCTATGCTGATGTTCGTTCCAAGAAGTGAACTGAGGACTGATGCTACGTAACGCCAAACGCCCTGTAACTCGCTTACACTAATCTCACATTCCAATATGCCACTGCACTTTCCTCTCCAGCCTGGCCACATTCTCTTCCTCGCAAACGTACTTGGGCACCTTACAATCCAACACCATACGTGCTTTGGAAACGCGGGCAGCTGCTTCACAAGGACCCCCCTATTTATAATTATAAGAAGTATATAAGCAGTGAAGCAGAGGATTATGAAGCAACTTGGGTGTCCGCTTCCTTGAAGCCGGAAAAAGGGCGGGGCCCCTCTGCATCCGTACAGGCCGGTGGCGTGGCAAATGTGACAATTGATGGCTGCAACTCTTCAGAGGCCCCATGCATTGGCCAAAGTAAATGTACAAACAAGCAGCTTGTGTAATTCATACAGAAATGAAAGCAAATTTGGTGGTGGCAAGTCGGAAGGCCCGTGTGGGCAAATGGTAACACAAGCTGGGTGTTCAAGTTATCATACGCTGTCATCTCGGAAATGAATTATGAGATACACGGCACCTTTTGAGATGAAATTTAGCCCGAGAGGCGTTGATGTGACTTTTGAGGTCGGTGAATGGAGGCAGCCAAACTTGTTTGTGCTCATACGATCTTTGTTAGCTACATGCGAGATACCTTGCAATAGAGAATGCTGTATATTACCGACAACGCGTTTCAGCCGGGTGAAATATTATGTTTAGTCCGTTACACACGCACACACGCACACACGGACACGCACACACGGACATGGGCAATCCTACAGGTCGGGGCCCCCCTGGGCGCTTCGCGCTGGGGCCCCGCCCAAAATTGTGAAAGCATATTACGGAATACAGGGCTGGTCGGTATTTACAAAGTGCTTGAAGAAGGCGTTGTTAAGCGAGAGTCAATCGTTTGGCGAAAAGTGTCACGACGTGTCCAGTGTAGCACAGTTTAGTGTGCAGCTGCACTGCAGTAGATGCTCAAGTACCAATGAAGAACGAATTGCGTGAAGAACGAATTGCGGAACACAGAGTTGATAACGAGTTGATCCGTTCATACTCAACACAATGCTGGATATTGTCCTGACAAGCGATAATAAACAATACCTTGTTTCCTCCTCCCCTGTCGCCTCTATCCCCTGCCGTCTCGTTCCCCTGTCGCCTCTATCCCCTGCGGCTCCTCCAACCCGGAGCAGCTTGTCTTGAACTCTGCGCATGTAACACGTATATATGCCAAAGTATAGGACTGCAGCATCCGTCCATTAGCATGGCTGTAACACACATACACTTAGGGTTACAGCACACGTTCATGTCGCATGAATGAACATCTGTAGCAAGCACATGAATATCTTACAGACGACACGTACATGCATGTCCCGCAGGTTTTCAGCCAAACAAGGTAGCTAGTAGCGCAATTAACGGAAGCAACATCCACATGCAAGTGTGAAGACCTGCCTGACGACAATGTCATGCTTGACTGGCTCCACATAGCCATGGCACCGGACTGTTGCATCACGTCCACTGTTGGCCCACAGTGAGCCTTAGAACAGCAGTGTTTTTTTTTTCATTTTTGCCCGTCAATTTTCCAGTCCGAACGGAGGAATAGGTTTTTAGTCGCGGGAATAAAAGTATTCCGAATCTGTAAGGCGCTGGGGGGGGCTACGCCCTCCCCAGACCCCCCCCCCCGATGAGTTATAGTTTAGTTCGTACAAGCACAGGGGTTGGGAATGTCGCAACACGCGCACACCACAATCACTCCATAGAGGTGTCTCCTGCACGCCAGGAAGCGGGGGCCACTTGGACGATTTGACAGGAACCCCGGTTGCACGGGCGACTGCTGTTGCAGAGCCCAAGCAAACACAGACCAGTTAACCCCTACTCAAGCACTGATCTAACAGAGTTCGTTCACCGTCATTCGTTTTGCATCACGTTGCAAGATAACACTACACGACTTTCCAGGTTGCAAAAGTAATGATGCATAGCAGCAATGAACCGGAACCATCAAACACAACCTCTGCGGTTGGTTGCAGCCCCCGCTGGTGATGCTGCACGCTAGTTAGCGGTTCATTGTGTACCGGCCCCTTCACAACCCGCTGCGTCTGTGGTCGGGGCGTCTTTGCTCCGCGGAGTGTGGGGTTAGGAGTCTTAGCTGCAGCGCCGGGGTCGCTGCTGCCATCGACCTCGATGCCCGTGTTTCCTGGCCCATCGCGATTGTCTTCATATGAAGAACGTTGACGTTTGGCCCGCTCGCTGTTCACAACCGGAGTGGCGTCATTGTCGTCGGCTGGCTGCAGCATTGCGTCCACATTGCCTACGACCTCTAGGCCGTCTTCATTAACGTCGCTAATGGCTTTAGTGAAGTTGAATGTCTCCTTTAATGGCCTTCCACGTTTTGGGAGCTTCGGGTCCGAATATTTTGCAGCGTTTGGTCCGGTCAGAAAGAAACAGTCCGATTCCTCGTTGACTTTCGGGCGTGACCTTCCTAACAGTATCCATGGCATTAAAGTACTATGATATGGTTAACATGTATGTCTCCTGTAGTGCTCGGAAGTGCTGGTGCCGCGGCGATTGACGCGCCGGTCGCCGTGGACGCACCACGAGTCGGTTCTGTGGAGGGGCAAGCAGAGGCGGATCCACACCCCGGCGCTGCTGGAGAACGGCATCGGACATGGCGTGTGCCACGTCTGGAGTTGATGGGTAGAAGCGTTTCAGGGTTTTGTGTTAAGTGTGCTTTGAGTTGAGTGGGCTACCGTGTTTCAACCACCTTGCCACACCAACCCTCTTCACCATGCTGTCTGCAGTGCCCCCTGTGCGACGGTCCCGTCACTAGGATTTTCAGGTGAATATGCCGGGGATTGGGAGTTTGGAAGCACAGCAGCAGTCGGATTGGGGTCTTTAGCAGTTAATATAGACACCGACACGTCAGCCCACGCGCTCGACTAACCGTGTGTCAGTTGCCCTTCCCATACAGCACACCCCGCGCCGGGCCGAACGGTAGGGTGGAGAACCGCTGCTTTATGTTCTGCGCTTCAATTGGGTGGGAGGAGCAGAAGCTATCACTGGACACGCTGAAGGGGCGGTGCAAGGTGTGCCAGAGGGTTCCAGTTTGATTGGGTGCCTGAACTTCGGCGAACTAATTTATAGTGGACAGGGATTAGGGAGGCAATTGCAATAACGAGTAACCCTGTGATAGCGCATACAGCCCCAAAGCTCTATGTGTGGCTTCCCCGCTGCAGGCCAGGGCAGAGTGCACTTTCCAGTGCACCGCCAACACCATGGCGGACCATGTTTTCGACATCTACTACAACGTGCTTGATGGCCCAAAACCCCCGCGTGCGCGGCGCCACTCCAATACCAGCGGCGGCAGTGCCGCCAGTGGCGGCAGCACTGCCAGCAGTGGCGGCAGCCGCGGAAGCACGGGGAGCGGCAGCCGCAAGCGCGCCCGAGACAAAGGAGGAGGACATGGCGACAGGCACACAGCGCCGGCCGGTTCGGTCGGCGGCAGTGGGGCGGGCGGTGGGCCTGCCCCCGTTGCCCCCGCGTGTATGCACTCGGCGGTGGCGGTGGCGGGTATTGGCGCGGCGATGTCGGGCATTGCAGCGGTGGGCCTGACCGAGGCCGGGATGTTGCTGGATGATGATGGTGATGATGATTACTGTGTGATTGTGGAGTAGCGATGTGGATAGTTTGGAGCTGCGTTAGGACTTTAGCTCCATTGCGCGCATGCAGGAACCCGTTAGGTGTGCCTTTGTTAGCCGACTGGACTTTGGTGATGGTTACTCTGCGAGGTGCGGTTGACGACCTCGGGCCACTATAGGCTCGCGCAGCCCACCAGGGCGCGAGGTACGTTGGGTGATGCAAGTAGACTTGACTCAGTTCGAACGATGCGCCACGAGTTTCTTCATTCAAGTTAACGAACACATTCCATTTAAATCAATGAGTTCCGTGGCCATAAGATGAAGGACCAGGGCTCCTTGGTAAAGGTCGCGTTTGCGTGGGGCAGGGGCACACCTTGGTCTGTAGTAATTTGGTGGCCTTTTCAGCATAGATTTTTCTTACACATATTAAAGGGTGTTACTCAGATTTATTGCAAGGATTGCTGAGGTTTGGGCGGCCACCTCGTCAATTGCCACCAACTTCGACGACGAGCAGAATCCAGGGCACCTCCGTGCTCAGTTAAATACTAGAATGATATGGCCATGTTTACTTTGCCCAGCAGGCAAAGTTTCAGCGTTTGTGGATCTGGCCAACGGCTTCGTACGCTAAGCCGACGCAACGAGCCGAAACGGAAACCTGCGGAAACGGAAACCTGCGTAAATAGGTTTCGTCACGCTTTCCGCAGCGAAGCCCAGATTGGCGGAAATGCGGAAAGAGAATCCGCATTTCAGCGTTTGCTGTACGGCGGAAATTGAAAAACAGATTCCAGGCATGCGTTTGCCATTTAAAGACTGCGTTTTACACTTTAGAGTTATTAGATTAAGTCAAATGTCAACAACCACTGGCGCCGACCTGGGGGCTGCCGAAGCCATAGAGATTGACTGTGTTTCTGCTCAGAAGAAGGGTTTTTGATAATTGATTCCACAATGTCCGTAAACGTGGTTGAAGTTGAACAGAGCCACGTCGTTGCAGTTATCGTTGTGCGGTGCCATGTTTACATACTTTAGCCCTCTCGCCTTTTTTATTCCTTTTGATTTTTTTGTATTTTGGATACATATTGTTTGGACGATTACTGGATTATGCACAGTCAGCATAGACTTGTCCGTGAGGCATGCAGACATGCCGGACGGGTATGTGGAGTAGGCATGCAGACATGTCACTGCTCCGCAACGGACAGGGAGACGATTATTATGCAGTGTTTCAGGGCTCCCCGGGCCCTTACCCCATGTGGCAATTTCTGAGCATCCCAGAGCAATCCGTCAGCCAACAACACTATGGGGGTGGTATACGATAGGGCTGCTCAGGCCTGGGGTCTCAGGGTTCAAAGAGAGGCGGGCTGCTTGAAGGGGGCAGGGTGAACACCGTCAAGGGTGTGGGCACACAATAGTTGATCGCTTGGCCCCCGCCACCCCCAGTAATACGTTTAGATGGCTCTACCTTCGAGCACGATTGGAATCCACCAGATTCTAGATCCCACCGGACAGATCCGCACTGCCACAAGCTGGTTTCAGACTGTCCATGTTATCGCCACACTGAGAAGAGCTAAAAAACATCGTTACATATTCATTTTGTAGTTTTCGCAGCTTTCCGCAGTTTCCGCAGCCTTTCCGCAAAGGGCCTCCCGATTACGAAAAGTTTCCGCAGACCTGGTCAAGTTTCGGCTCGTTCCCTGCTGTAAGATTCTAGCGGCTTTGGCATAAACAGTCCATTTTTGGCTGGAGGAATGAACTTGTACGGTTTAAAACCCTACGGTTTAAACCCTACGGTTTATATACCTAAAACCCTAAAACCCTAAGTAACTCCAGGGTGGGCCTGACCTCTGAAATTGACAGGACCCCCAAACCGGCCTGCTAGCTGATAGGCCCTACACCGGTCAGCCTTCATTCGCTTGTTTCAACGCGTTCCGAATCAGACTTGTTTACGAGAGATTTGTATGCGTTGCTATTATCTGTCTCGTTGTAATCTTGTTTTGTAACTCTACACACAGATTTAAATCCTTTGCTAAAAGCAAGAACATCTTAGCGACTGTCAGTGTTCTGTCTTCCGGGGTTCTCATTGCCGTTCATACGACGTGGACTTCGACCTTAAGGTACCCTCAGTTTGCCACAGTGCAGTAGAGCGAGCTGCGTTGCGGAGATTCTAGATCCGGCCTCTACTTGTGCTGTCTTCTGAACGTCAGTTTAGTACATACCGCAAATGCTTTACGCTTCTGATTCCTGATGCTTCTGTAATAGCTGCTGCGTCTCATTCTTCTTTGTGGTCTTGTGCAGTCTGGGGTCTGGTCCAAGCCCGACATAAAAAAAACATTTTATAATGTCATGATAATAGATATGGATACCTCCTTTGTTTCCATGTGTCCCAGCCAGGTGCAAATGGTCTTCAAGGGCAGTGTCAGCTACCGCAAGGACATCGTCAACTATGTTCGGATTAACGCAAACGTTGAAGCTAAGATTTCGCGGCTGGACAGGGCATGTGCGCAAATTGCTTTTGTCGACAACGACGACCAGCCGGTGCCGGCCCCATCAAACCTCACCGTCGTCTTCCAGGGTACCCAACACCCAGCGGCACGCGTAGGCCAGGTATTCCTTATCTCTTGGATGGAGAACTACGTCATTCTTGTGAATGGAGTGGAGCTGTTCAGGCTCGAGAATCAACTGGCCATAGATAGTGGGGCTGACCTGGTGACCCGCATTGTCCAGGCATAGATGGCCTTTGTTCCGCTAAAGGTCTCGGATGACCGCTATGGCTGGCTCCCTGGGGTAGAGTCTCGAAATGGTTGCTGAACTGGACGGGGAATTGAGCAGGGAGGTAACAATCCGACGACGGATGAACACGGATGAACACATAGTTGGGGTCCGTAGTTGGGGTCCGATGCGGAAGTCAGTGCGTATCAGTAGATGTTTAGGTCAGGGTTTCGGCAATTGTGAGTGTACTGCTGAACGCTGTCCTCTGCTTGGAAGGGCTTTGTTGCGACAAGCTGTGGGGTGTGTACCCACGTTTTGATGTGACGTTGCTTTGTGCCTAATTTGTGCCTCTGACCTTTGTGATGGTATCTCATGTCCTTAGCGAGTGTTGCCTGCGCAATCACAGGCACGTCTATGGCGGGTGAATGCTATTGTTACAGTGGACCCCGAACGGGATTGAGTGCATTGCCCCTAGGAACACCTCCTGCATAGCACTGTGGGCCTTATTCAAAAAGAACTCGGCCAGGCCGTACTAACTTCACTGGACACAAGGCCTCAGTTAGTATGCTCGTACAGAAAACATGAGGCAAGTAATCCCATGCTGCAAACGGGCCCAAAAGGGTTGCATAATAGGGTTACATAAAAGCTAGCTGTCAACGGAAATGAACAAAGCCATGGAATCTGTCCTGGACCCGAGCCAACTGCTGGCATCGTGAAGACCCCGCGTCGCGCGGCGCAATGCCAGCAAAGTTTGCTCATGGAGTGACGTACTCAAAGCGTACTCACACGCCGCCAGCTTCTCTTGCGTAAAATCTCTGACATGCCTGTCGGCACTTTCTTTAAACTGCTTTGCCAGCAGGGGCTGCCTTCCACCGGCGGCCCCCTAGACACTAAACCCCATCCCCCAAGTACAGCCCAAGCAACGATGCATTACCGACAACAGCACCGCCGTCCCAAACGCCTTTATCAGGAAAATTTTCAGGCATATCTTGCTGTTTTGGTGTTTGTTCGACGTTCGAGTCGTTGCCTTTTGCGTGTTTAGCTATGTGAGGACCGGTCATGCATTCTGCTATGCCGCGTTGACTCACGGGCTTGACCTTCTTACGGCCCCTCATATCTATTCTATATTCGATAATACTAAGTTCTGCACACTACGGAGCAATCTGGCAGCAATGGACGTTTTTGGCTGGAGGAATGAAAATGTACGGATCGGCCTCAATTCATAAAATTCATAAAATTATTACTTATTTAAACACTGGAGGCGCTCCTAGGGGCGCTGCACTCGACCCGTTCGGGGTCCCCTGTAACAATCGCATTCTCTATCCCATGCCGCTCCTCCCCTGCCACCTTCTCCCCTGCCGCCTCTATGGATGGCAGAATGTGCTGTAGCCCTCAGACAAAAAGGGAAAGAGAGAGAGAGAGAGAAAGAAGACATCTTTTTGCCTTTCTTTTACTTGCTCTCACTTTCTTTGGGAATTTGCTCCCACTTTCTTCGGGAATGCATCCAAAAAAACTTCTTACTTGAACAATGACTCTCACTTTCTTCGGGAACGTGTTTCTGCCTTTCTTTTACTTGCTATCCCCTGCCGCTTCTCCCCTGCAGCCTCTATCCTCTGCCGCCTTCTCCCCTGCACTGTCCTCTGCCGCCTCCACCCCTGCCGCCTTCTCCCGTGCCTCCTCCGCCCCTGCCACCTTCTTCCCTGCCGCCTCTGCCCTTGCCACCTCTATCCCCTGCCTGCCGCCTTCTTCCCTGAGCTTCTCTCTAACTTTCTTCGGGAATAACGGCTCACCATAAAGATTCAATCCAGATATTAATAAAATAATTGTTAAAAATAACATGGCTTTTAATAACCTGCTTAAAACCGTGTCAATGGTGCATTAGTAATCCGTAATGCAGTACCGAGACCCACCTACGAGTGGCGCAGTTCGTGAAGGATTACAGGTACAGCGTGGCTATCTTCTATTTGGGGAAAACGGCACCTTGCTGCTATTTTCCCCCATCAAAACTTGGCCAAAATATAGCTGGCTGCCGCAAAATCAGCACAGTGCGATCCCACACAAATTTATGTCGACGTCGTCATTTGGCTTTAGTGTGACAGCTTTCCTCTTTTGTTCTGCGCTACTTGCTGGGGCACACGTGCAAACTCAGAGCCGGCCCCAACGCAGCCGAATGCGTCTACATGTAGGCGGTCGGGAACGCATTAACTGAACCTGCCCGCCTCGAAACGAGCCTGCCTCTTAGGGAGCTCAATTCACATCATTCGGTTTTGGCTGGGGCACCCACAGTACTTTGATATTCTAGTTGCATGTGTCTTTACAGGCCAGTGTGCTTCGGTCAGTGCCGAAGTTAGGGCTGCTCCTACTCCGGCTGCTGCTGCCGCCAGGAGTATAGTTCCGGATGCTTCAAGACTGTGCCTGACGGCCTGAGGCATTAAGACATTGGCTGATACGGATATGGATTCGCCAAATGCGAAGCTCCCACTTTTCCTTACAACAATTGGCTTTGCAGCGGCATAGGAGCCTGCAACCGTACATCACCCTGAGAGCAGCGTGTCCTTCTGCGCGCAAGACACTGAAACGGAACACAGCAGCATGACAGCGCGTGGAACTCAACCGGCCGCTGCGACAAGATGCCCAGCAGGCGCCCAAAATACAAGGCCACTAACGAGCCCACCGAGCTGCACTGCCCCCACCCGCCCACAGGGCACAACGGCAGCCCGCACAGCAACGTCGCCCCCGACTTCCCAAAGCTGCACAAGATCCCAAAACGAGAAGCCTGTGACGTCTTTGTGGAACAACAGAAAGTGGCGTAACCGGCAGCTGAAAGGAGCCCAACGACGGAAGCCCTTTCGCGCAAGGATAAAACGGCAGTGCACCAGCAAGTAGACAGCAACATGCTTAAGCAGTCTTCGTCTGCTTCTGTACAGTAATCCAGCGGGCGAACTGGTCGTAGTCCTCGCCACTGTAGTCCGAATCCACAAGCATCTGCGGAAGCGAAGCAACGAGGTCGGGCTTAGTTCGTGAAACTTCAGGTGGGCTACTGAAACGAACTACTCGGATAGGCTACGGAAGTACTGCTACCAAAACGAACTAGCCGACTCACCCCTGTGCCGGAACATGCTGGCAGTTGTACCAGCGATTACTACACAGCACATACCTTTTTGTAGAAGGCCTTGCCGATAGCCTTGACAGCCTTGTCCTTCTTGGCGCCCGTCGCGATGCCCTTGGCAATCTTCTCCAGCTTCTCCGCACGCACAGCACCCTTCTTGGCGCTGCATGTGATCTCGATACGGCGGGCGACCTGTCGTGCCAATACACATCATGTATGTACACGAGGGTGATGTGGCCAGGATCCCCTTCCCCTTCCCTATGGACAGGAAATAACCTCTACTTAAATCAGGTTATGTATAGGAGTTCACGAGTCAGGTGATTATGAGAAATTGGCTGGGGGCGATGGATAAGGATGTGGCCCCGATGGAGAATGCAGGGTCTCTGGAGGACGTTTCAGTGAGCACGGGTGAGAGATACCTTCTTTCCACATATTCATCAAGCAACGAAACCCAAAGCCCCAAGGCCCAGTCGACAGTCCAGTCGACACCTGTGTGTCCAACTCGCACCTTGGCGTACGGGTTGAGCTTGAGCAGGGCGCCCAGGTTGCGCAGCGGGTTCTTCTTGAGAGGGGCGTGCTTGGGGCCTGCGGCCTTGGCCGGCCTGACGGCGCTCTGGATCTCATCGCTGTTAATGATGCGGGTCAGGTCGCCGTTGGTCATCACAGAGCGTGGCACCTGGGGACCATCAGCCAAACGGCAGAAAATCAGCATACCAGACAAGGCAACCATTCGCCAAAATAGCGAGTGCGCTGTGGCTGTGACCGGCACATCAAAGTTCCCTTCGATCTCGTGCGCCTGGGTAACCAAGACGTGGACGTGCTTACGCCACTCCACTCTTCCGCTTGACAAACTAACGTCGTATTCATCCGCCTTAAGATATTAGCCTTTGCCCTTCATTGCCAGGATGCTCATATTGTGCATGTAAGTTGATGTTAAACCAGGATGACCCCAAATTCGCTTCCACGGAAGACCCACATCCTAGCACGCCATCCACGCACCTTGAAGCCCTTCTTGACCTCAGACTCGCTGGTAGCAGTGCCGAATATCTTGTCCAGCTTCTCAAAGGCGGACTTGGACCAGATGCAGAAGCGGCCCAGGTGGCCACCCGGAGCCAGCTGCAGCAGGTTCAGGCGGTCCACCGACGTCACCTCCACGCCAGGCAGGTTGCGGAAGGCCTTGCTAATGCCCTCGTCGTTGGCGAAAACCACAAGCGGACCCTTGCGCATCACGTAGCGGCGGTTGCGGAGCTTGCCTGCAGATAGGGCCGCGTGTTTGACACCAGCGTAAGATGCTAGTTGCCAAAAGCTATTGAGTGCCAACGGTATTGACAAGCAGCCATAAGAGAACTGGAGAGATCACAAATTCAGGTGGAACCGCGTCATGCATTGTATGCAAAATGATCACCCGTACTAATTCAGCCCCAGATGCAACCCGGCGACCAAAACCACCAGCAGCTGCACTCCAGCACTCCATAGCTGCACTCCAGCACTCCATACGACGACGCCGACAGAATCTTTGCAAATGAACTGCGTTGCCCTTGCCTCACATATCCAATGAAACAATAAGTGGGACTTTTCGACGCTATAATTCAGCATTTTCTGTACCGGACAGCGTATTCTGTGCCGAAAGTCTTATACATGCCGAATTGCTCAATATATGGCAGCCTGACTCCTCCACGGGGGTACGAATGGCCCCCAGCAGACAGCCCTCCCCCGGTGGCGTGACACGTCATCAGCTCTTGAGAGCCCCAAGGCCATCCTGGAGGACGCTGGAGCATTGCTACTCTGGTGCTGTGGCAGCGCTTTATGACCCGGAGCAGCAGCGCACGCAGGAAGCCCCAGTCGCGCTTAGCTGGCCCAACTTTCTTCGACTCATTTTGCGCTTGTTGCCTAATGTCCCATGCCAATGGGATCGTACGCCGCTCTAGCATCTTCAGCTGCTGGTGCCATATCTGTTGTCAGGCAACAGCCGGACAAGCTTCTGCTGCTGGCCCTTGTTGTTGACGCTGCCACCGCCTCTGCCGCCTCCGATTCTTCCGGATCTGCAGAATTTAAGATGCTGTTGATACCACTGCCCTCATTCCATGTGCCGCTGCTGCTGCTGCGTCCGCTGCTGCTCCGGGTCATAAAGCGCTGCCACAGCACCAGTGCCTGGTTCCGAAGACGCGGCTGCCATGCGCCGTTGACCTTCCATGACAAGCTTGCCGTCTATAACAGCAGAAAATATATCCAAAGGAGTCACCCCGCAGGCAACCCCCCCCCGGCCCTTGAACTCCCCCCAATGCATATCTATACAGGACACCACCACAGGAGCCCCCAAAATTTCTCCACGTACGCACCCTTGCCGGAGCGCAGGCTCTTCGAGTCCTTGCTCTTCTCCACATCGGGCAGGGCGCCAATCTTCTTTAGGATCTCCAGGGCCTTAGAGGTCTTCTTCAAGCCCTCCACGGCGTCGCTGAGAACCAGCGGCACCTCAGGCACCTACGGGACGAGCGAGAGATCCAGTGAAGTGAGAAGAACTCATGTGGGCCACGCTGGGACGGCAGCCCTGCGCCACGCCATAGCTTCTCTTGCCGTTGGGCTATACCGAACGTAGTCGCTGAAAAGCGCGATCCAGCACCCTCCCCCTCATACGCAACGGACAGACCCCGCCTGATTTGCCTCTCATTTCCATCCCATGACACCCGGACGCGCATCCCCCCTCACGTGCCTGCTCAATGCGGTGGCCGCGGGCCATTACCAGAGAAGGCAGGGCCGACGCAGCCAAAGCGGAGCAAACGGCGTAACGCTTCTGGTTAACGTTCACCTTGCGATGCCAGCGGCGCCAGACCTAAGGGGAGGCATAAGAGAATCTTCAGTTATCTCCTGCCTCGTGAAAAGAATGGTAAGGCTTCCACCACGAGTAGCAAATGCGGTTCCGCGGTTGATGGCACGAGCCATGTTAACTCGATCTACATCGACGCACACCCATTCACGGCCCCCACGCTTTAACTTTACACACGTAGATTTTCGTCATGATTATGATTATTATGAGTTATAGTTTATGCTGAAAATATCGCCCTTAAGCGCCCTCTGCTGAAGCCCGCCGCCGCATTTGCCAAACTCACCTTAGTGGGAGCGAACATACGACCACCTCGGCACATGTTACCGAAGGCACCCTGACCAGCGCGGTGTGTACCACCACCCGGCACACGGGGAATACGCGACACAGCACGACCTGTGCCCCAAGACTCGGCAGCGGTCTGGTGGCCGGCCTTCATGAACACCGCGTAGGCCTGGCGCTTGTTCTTTGCCATGTTCGTGTGAATTGTGCGAACGATGTCAGGACGGATAGGCGCGGTGAAGACGGCCGGCAAGGCCGTCTGCTCCGCAGCCTCGCCCGTCTCAATGTTGATGACAGAAACCAGTGGCCTGGCAGCGGCCATCTTTGCTGTTTTAGTACACGGTGCCACGCGGGCTGGAAGAGGGTAAGCTTAGGGACAGCGAGGGACTTAGTTCGGACCGTGAAATGAAACCACCCTGGAGCGACTCCGGAGCCAACTACCTAATTGATAGGCAGTTACAAGGAAACGCTGATATAACAACAGTAACTGACTACGCATTTTAAGGTGCGAAAGGTGTTGGGTCAGTTACAAGTACTTGGGTTCCCCAACATTTAAGTTCCACGAGCAGGTTCGGTTCTTTTTCTCGTTTAAAGTAAAATAGTGGTGTTCAGCACTGCGAACTCCTCCGTGGCTTGCCCTGCTCGCGACAGCGTAGACCTTGCATAACTGGATTCCACAAGTACCATTGTGCATTTCTACAGCCCGCGGAGCCGCAGCTCACCCCGATAACTTTCAGCGGTAACAACTTAGTCTTCTGCTTGGAGAGGTTTTATTATACCGGATAAGCTATACGCGGCTCCTCCTTCCACATGTACTCGTTCCCCGTCCAGCCCTATTGCATACACGACACAATATTCCAGCACTCCGTGATCACGCACTGCAGCTCCAACTGGTCACAACATGCCCCCCTTTAGATGAAGGATTCCCTGCACCGCACAAGCTCCACCCACGCCAAATCGGGGGGCCTGTGCACCGCACATGTTGACGTTCCCCACCGCGGCGCTGAGGCTCTTTGACGTTCGCCCTCATTTTTTGTGGCAATCGCACGGTTAACGAGGTTGGCCTGCCTGCCTGGCGCCACTCAGAATTGTAGCCCACCACGGGGCCCAGACCTTCATCCCCGGCTGTACTGCTCACTTCACATGCCCATCTGGCGGCCATCAGCCGACGGCCCCATTACCACAGCCAAACCGGAAACAGCAGTGGTCCTACCCGCCTCCGGCGATGCTGTGGGCACCACCTGCCGGCCCAGCTCGCTGCCAGGCGCCCGGGATGCTGCTGCTGCTGTTGCTGTTGCTACCGCTGCAGCTTGGCCTCTCCATGGCTGCAAAGTTCGGCTACGTGAACGACCCACTTGGCCGTGTCCCCGCAAGGCAGGACCACACTGACGGCGCTGTTTGCCACACTCGCCCCCACCCGCGCCATGAACTTTCAGCACTGGACTGCCTGGTGGTTGGGGGCCCAGGGACCCCTAACCTTCCACATTCGGGGCTTGCACTCCTGTAGATGGTGTCCACGCCAGCAGAGGTGTAGGAATAACGCCACTAGCACCGCCAGCAACAGCCATAAGTGGTGTGCACTGGCTCTGGAGGCGCCCTCGTGCAAGAGTCCTCGTGACAGGCACATTGTTGAGGGTGAAGACCTGCTGTGCTGCCTGAAAGTCAACGTCCGTTGGCGGATCCCGGAGTGGTTCCAGACTGCTCTCACTACAATGGTCGCTTCAGGCTCGGGCTCGGGCCCATCAGATGGTTGCTTTCTCCAAGCGCTGGTGAGAATGCGGGTTCTGGCCCAGGTTCAGAGGGGGATCCTGGTGCTGGGCGACACCTTGCCGGCAGCACCACTGCCACGGCTGCACCCTGCTCCGACACTGCTGCCACTGGCAAGGTGTACGGCACCAGCAGGCGGTAGTAGGCCGCAACCTTGCGGCTGTCGGGCGCTGCTGCCAGGCAGGCCCACAGAAAGCGCTGCAATGGAGCTGCACTAGGGGGGAGCGTGGCCGGCCGGTCCAGGTCTGCCAGCGCGGAGAGAAAGCTTTCCAACTGCTGCATGGTGAAGTATGGCAGCTGACCATGAGCAGTGTCTAGCACGGCGTCCAGCCACATCGAAGTCGTGTGGACCTGGACAATGTCCCAAACAACCAAAAAGCAAAATTTGGGACAAGCAAAATGCATATCAGCGACACTGCAATGGCGACATGCATCGTGACGTCATGCTGCCGTACACCATGCATGTATGCGATGTATGTATGTACCAAAAGAGATTGACCCAACATATGTGCAAGGTGCAAAAGCATCAGCTGTGCATTCGCTGGTGCCATGGGTGCTGCTGTACCTGCAGAGTCGCCACTGCCCGCAGCATGACAGCCAGGGCTAAGGGAGTCATCCGTGGAAGCGCATGGAGCACCGCCTGCACCAAGGAGGGGGAAGAAAAGGAAGGGGTCATGTGCCATCCAGGATACCAGGCCTCAAATTTTGCACACCTTTGCACATCTGCCTCCCGCGACCTGCACTGAGCGTGGTCGTTGTGGCAGTGCCTGCACGTGAAGCACCCGCTACCCCCCTTGTTGCCGCCTAACAGGGAGGTACCCTTCCCCACAAGGGCTCACCTGCATGTACTCTACCAGCCACCCCTCCGCGGGCAGGTAATCCAGCTGGGACAAACTGTGCAGCAGCAGTGGAAGTGACTGAGCATCCAGAAGCTCCCTCACATTGCCGGAAGTGGCACAGGCGCCACCACCACTACCACCACCATCGCCGCCGCCAGCACCACTTTCGTCCTCATTGTTGACATTAATGTTGCCAATAAGGTCACCAGCAGCAGCAGCAGCGCCGTTGTTGGCAGGCAACGATGGTGCTAGTGGAGCTAATGACGTTACGGTGCGCGAGGCTATGGTGGGGTTGGTGCTGATGGTGGTGGTGTTAGCGCTGTCAGCAGTCGCTACCAGCGAGGGGGAAACAGCGGCAGGCTGCGATCTGGCCGCAGACAAGGCGGGCCGCAGGGCCTGCATGCGGATGACAAAATGGAGGGCGGGATTGAAGGACGCGCACAGGGACAAAGGACAAAGCAGAAAGGAGAAGGAGAAAAACACAGGACAGGGACGGCGAATGAAGGTGGTCATGGCCATGGTAATGGTGGTGATGGCAAGGAAAGAAAATCACAGGAGTGGTGAGAATATTGAAGGCGAGGGCAGCTCTTTTCGTGGTCTGGGAAGGATGAGTGAGGACAGCAGGCGGCAGGCTGTGTCTCTGTGTGTGTGTGTGTGTGTACGTGTTAGCCATCCTTGACTGCTACGGACACTGTCGCAAAAGCACGCAAGAGGACACACACACACATATATACACATGCACAGGCTCAAGAGCTGCTGCTTCGCCCAGCTGCCCCGTAGGCCCCGTGCTTGCATCGCCATGACACCAGTATAATGGGAAAGAACCAACAAGTGGAAGCTCATCATAGGAGGCTGCTCTAGCATAAAGGATATCCCGGTAGGAGAGGAGCTACGAAAAATGCGAGAGGGGGATGTAGGGTCACTGTTAACCGAATCCGAGAGCTTCAAAAGCCCCACGGTCAGGTTCTGCCGGCTCCCCATATCTCCTCCCCACCGAATCTTCAATGTGGGCGCAACCCCCTCAGGCCATCACCACCTGGCGTCCAAACCCCAAACCAGACTACCTGCAGCGCCGCTTCCAGGTACGACTCCGACGGCGCGTGGCCAAACTTGCCATACATCCACAAGATATACAGGAGCGCAGTAACGCTGAGGTACGGCAGTCGAGGCTGCGTCGCCAGTTCGTACTGATGGAGCCAGCCGGCCGGCGGCGGGAAGTCTAGCCGGACGAGAGCCCAGGCCACGTTTTGCAGGTCGGCACTCGTGCAGTAAGGCAGTAGCGGCGGCAGTAGCGCCACCGCTGCCTCCATCCATCTGCCCAGCGCTGGCGGCGCTTCCACGTGCGCCGCTGACGTCGCCGCCGCCGCCGCCGGCAGCTGCTGTGGCTGCTGCAGCCTTCCTTGGTATCCCTTCCTTCGTGCATTCCCTGTCAGGCTCGACGTTGAGGAAGAGGAAGTTGATGCCCGCGCTGATGATGCTTTTGATAGTGATTTTTCCAATGACGCTGGTGGGTGCCACGGAGGCGCAGACGGCGATGTTAATTCCTCTCTTCGTCCGTTGGCAACTGCGCTCCGGGACCCCCCGCCGCCGCCACCGCTACAGCTACTGCTACGAATGCCATGTTCGGCACGCAGCAAAGGCCCCCCTGCGGCAGTCTGTACGGATTGTACGGCACGTGTGGATTGGCCGGCGAAAGAGAAGCACATGTGAGCAAAGGCCCACATGGATACCGCGAGATCCCGGGCATTGTACGACGGCAGTAGCGGCAGGGTGTGTTGGCAGTAGCGCTGCAGCCAGGCGCAGGACGGCACGTGACCGGCAGCGGCCATGCAGCGCAACACCATGGACAGGTTGTACGGCTTAAGCTGGGGAGGCGGCTGAAGCCGTTCCCGCGGCTGTTTCAGCCGCTTAGACGTGTACAGCAGTGGCTTTGCTGACGCCGCATGTCGCGTCAGCAGTACGTTGGCGGTAGCTCGCTGCAACTCCTGCCACCAACGCCGCAAGCCAAGCCGGTCGTCGGCTACGCTGGCTGCTGCTGCTGCTGCTACTGCGCCGCAACAACCAATACTGGCGTCAACGCCGAAGCCGGCGCTGGCGACAGCTGTACGGCCCACGACATCGCCGCCGCCGTCACTGCAGCCATCGCGATGACGATACGGCTCTAAAGCGTGCAGGAGGCCACTGACCGACATAGATACAGCGCATGTCAACAGGTCGTTCTTCTGTGCCTCCGCCGTACCGTCCGCGGCGACGGCGGTGACAGTCGTCAAGGTCGTCCCGTCGTCGCCGTCCCTGCCATCGTAGCCCCGACCGTTGCCAACGCCGTCCATGCATGACTCCAGCGTCCTTTGAAGTACGGCTGACGTTGATGCGGTATCCGCTACAGCGCACGCTGCCAAGGTGCCGTCGGCCTGGTCACCTCCTCCTTTTCCTCCTCCTCCTCCGCCGCCGTCGCCGCCGCTGGTGTTACGCCGTGTCATGAGCTGTTGCAGCGCCGCCATTCCTTCCGCGCACCGCACCAGGTCAATGGGTTCCATGTGCGCCAACAGCGGCAGCGTCGCTGCAGCCATCTCGCCGGCAAATGCCTCCACGGCGGCGGCGGCGGCGCCGCCGCCGCCGCTGCCGTCTTCTCCGTCGCTAGGCGTCGCCGCAGCTGCCACAGCTGACCACCTCCAAAGCAGCGCCGCCAGCTGCGACGGTAGATGAGCATCGCTGGTCTGCACCGCCGACGCCGACGCGCTGGAAGCTTGCCGCGTTGCCGTGCGGCTGTTGTCGTCGTCGACGCCGCCGCCACCAGCAGCAGTATCTGGAAATTTGGTATGGGCCCTGATGTTGACCGTCGCGTCCGCCGCCGAGGCGGCGGCGGCCGCCGTCCCCGCCGCCGCCAGCACGCGTTTCACCCAAGGCCACGGCGGGCTGTAGCGCAGGCTCGCAAGGGAGCTCCCCAGCACGCAGAGCTCTCCCAACCTTAAGCCGGCAGCTGGTCTGCTGCTACTGCTACTGTTGCTACTGCTACAGCTGCTGCCAACACTACCGCTGCTGCCGATACTGCTCGCGCTGTTGCCACTGCTGCTTGCAGCTGTAGTGCTGGAGCCATGAACGCCCATAGTTGACTCGCTACTGCTATTAGATGATGATGCCACCCTGCTCGTGCAAGTCCGAAAGCTGGTGCTACTGCTACTTCCGCAAGTGCTGTCGACGCTACTGCTACTGCTACTTGCGAAGACCTTGCCTAACCTAAGCTCAATGCTGCTATAGCACGTAGTGTCGCTGCTACTGCTACTGCTGCTGCTACTGCTGCTGCTCGCGTCTTTGCTACTATTACTACTGCTGCTTCTGCTGCTACTGCTACAGCTGTTACCATCGCTGCGACTGCTGCCGTCATCACTACAGCTTTCCAACACCCGGGCGCCGCGCTCTGCAAGGCCAGAGGCTGTGTGTCCCTGCTTCCAGCTGACGGCTTCAGCGGTGCGGCTACCACCATTACCACTTCTACTGCTACTGCTACAGCTAAGCGTATGATGGCGGCGGTTGCTGCTGCCGGCGATGCCATCCAAATGGGGGCCGAGCTCCCCCAGTACAGCTGCCATCCAGGAGGGCTCAGGCAGGTAACGTGCATAGTCCAGCCACGACAAAATCTGGACGAGCGACGCTGGGCCGTACGTCGTACACACGTGCGTGATGCCGCCGTTCGCCTGCGGCAAAGAAGCACCCCGCAAAGGGGACGACCGGATTGTAAGGCTCAGGAACGTCCCGGACCTGACCGCTTTGGGAAACGGAAGGTAAACGGCTTCTGATCTGTTATTGGTCAAGAAATAACGTACAGGGCCAGCAACACCAGCAGAAATGCATCCGGGGGAAACTTAGGCGGTCCTTGGAAAGGAAAGGAAAGGACTCCTACCCGCAAAAGAGCGCCCCTTTTCGTCTACCCACCATCACTCGGTCCACCAGGCCGTCCATGAACTCGGGTGAGGGCCGCCAGGCCTGGCAGGACACCGCACGAATCACCATGCACGCATCCACGCTGGTCAGCAGCGCCAGCTGAGACTCCACCTTTTATGGGTTAAAATAGACGGCCGGGATTCGAACCAGGGATCGGAAGGACAGTTTCTTAGGGGTCTCGAGGATGTGAGCTCAGACTTGCAGCTAACCAACTATCCTACTAACCACCCTACTAACCACCCTACTAACCACCACCTTACGACCCCAACCGGGAACCGCACTTTTGCTGCTCGTCCTCTGGTACCCCCTAATCCTCGGAAACGTCACATTGCCATCGATTGACAGCCGCATCTCATCTCTTACAAACCAGGCGCAGTCCCCTGCAAATATACGCACATACGTACACACATACCAAAGTACATGTGCCGCACATACACACATGCACATGCACGCACATGCGAAGCTATACAATCGTACATGCACGTACATACATACACACATCCGTTTATAATGAACGTGAGTGTGCTTTGGCAGTCTGACACAAACCATGTTTCCCGTCTGTCGAGATGCGGTACATACATACATACAGGAGGGCGTACCTGAGACAGATAAGCCTCTGGCCACCCCTCCAGGGGGGGAAAGCGCCGAGGCTGAAAGCGGCTAAACGCCAGCAGCTCTGCTAGCCGTACAAGCTGAGTTGCCGAGACGCCAATGGAGCCATAGCTGCCGCCGCCGCCGCCGCTGAAGCCTGGGGAGTCCGACGGCGCCGCTACATCCCAGGAAGACCCCTCCGGTACCGGCGGCGGCGGCGGCGGCAGCGGCAGCGGCCGGCTGCCAGGACTGCGGAGGCTGCCACCATGGTGAGCCGCTGCCGCCGGCGGCGGCCGGTGCTCCTGTAAAAGCATCGGCTGTAGCAGTTTGAAGAGTCCCACCAGGAAGTACGTGTGGCGCTTGAGCTCCGGAACTGGTTGGCGGTGCTGCTGCTGCTGCTGTCGCTGCTGCTGGTCTTGTGGGCGATAGCTAGCTGGCGACTGGGCCGGCTGCTCTGGAGGCAATGGGGTCGAAGTCGGCGGCCGGAAGAATGGATCCCCCGGTTCACGTGGCGGTGGCGGCACCTGTATCGCCGCTACTGCTGCACCCTCCGCCTCCGCCACGGCTACCGTCGCCGCCGCCTGCGACGGCTCTGGGTCGATGATGGCGGCGGCGCGGCTTGCATCCAGCCAGCGACCCAGATGCTGCGCATATCGGATCAGCGAATCCACCGCCAATCTAGGCTGCAAACCCGGATCCAAACTCAAATCCAGATTCTGATCTGAAGGCCGGTCCTGACTGAGTTCAAGATCCGAATCCAGGCGACTTTGATCCGTGCCTTCATTTTCCGATCTATGCGTGTTGAGCTGTACCTTAGGTCCTGCAGCTTCCGTAGTGCGCGGTGACCCTGCCCATGCAGCTGTAGCACGGACACGCTTGCTGCCTGCGGCGGTGGCGGCGGCGCCGGAGGCTTTAGCACCCGGGGCCAGGCGCAAGAAGTCGACGCAGATGCCAGCGCTGTGCGACACATCACACCACCAGTCCGGGTGGTCGCGTGCAGCGCTCCCAAACCAGGATGCATTCTGATGACCCGCCGTCGCCGCTGCAGTCGCACGGAAATCCAGCAGATCGTTAGCGGTTTGTACGACCTTGAATGCGACGGCGTGCGTCGGCAGCGGCGTCGGGACCGCCGTCGCCGCCCCCACTGCGGGGTTTCGCCGCCAAGCCTCCGCCAGCGCCGCGTCGCTTCTTGCTCCCAAGGCATCCGCCACAGCAGCCAGCCAGACGGGCCCCGGCGAGCGACGTAACGCCCGCTCCAAACTCCGTGAGAGCGCATCGACGCCGCGCGACGCGACAGCCGGGTGGCCGCCGCGCAGCTGTAGCACCAGCGCCTGCTCCAGGCCGCTCAGGATGATGTGTCGTGTGCGCGTCTCCGCCAGCGCGCACCGCGCTTCGCCGGGGCCCTGATTGTAAACGCTACTGCTGCGGCGTAGATTCCTCGTCGAGGCCGCCGCTGCCGCCGCCGCCGCCGGGGCCCCTGGGTTCCCGCGGCGTGTCTGCTGCCCCGGCGGCACCGCATCGGCATCGTCCGCCAGGACGTCCAGAAGCCGTAGCGTCAGGCTGCTACCCTGCGCCATCGCCCTTTTGGCGCCCTCAACGCTACTGCCTCCCACGGGCACCGCCGCCGGCAGCTGCTGCACCGGCCGCAGCAGCCCTTCCGCCGCCGCTTCTTCCTTACCGCCTCCACAACCGCTGCTGACGCTGGCTTTGGACGGTTCCCCTGGCGACGGAGGCGGCGGCGACGGCGATGTGCCTCGTCGACATAACAACACCAGATCCGCCAAGTCCTCGTCGTACAGCCCTTCGCCTTCCGCGAGCATGTACGCCAGTCTTGCCGCTAAGCACTCCGCCAGCGGCTCCGGCATCACGCCGTATGTCGGTTCCGTATGAGGGCTGCCGCCGCCGACGCCGCCTCCCGCTGCCGCTGAGCTTGGCCCCGTCGCGACGGGACGCTCAACAACAGCAGTAGCAGCTGCAGCTGCCGTAGCAGCGACGGCAGCGGAGGCGGAGGCAGCGCAGGGCGATGCGACGTTGGCGAGGTGCCTTGCGGTGCGAAGTATCGACATAAGGGATCCGGGCGCCAGAGGATCCGGCTCCGACGGCGGCGGGAAAAGGAACGGAGAAACGGCAGTGCCACCGCCGCTGCTGGCTATAGTCCGCGGCCACGATGGTGATGGTGATGATGGTGATGGTGATGACGATAATGAGGAGGAGGGCACCGCGTTCGTCTCTAATGGTGCTGTCAACACTGGCGGCGGCTGAGCGAGTGATGCATTTATCGGTGAATTGGCCCTCGCAGTGACCCACGGGTCATCCGCGGCGGACGTCGCCACTGTCTGCGGCATCCTTGTGGCAACATCCGCCGCTGCCTGCTGCTGCTGCGTGCTGTCTGCGTGGAGCCGCCGGGCTAGAGCCGCGTAAAAGCTGTCCACCCAGCCGCCTGGGGGGGCAACCTTGCGAAAAAACACACGCACGCACACATGCGCGAAATTTAACATCAATAAAACTTTGTCCAGGATACTAGCAGAGTTAAGACGATTAACGACGACAACGCAGGTGATGGATTGGGTTCTTTGGAGGGGGGGTGTCGGAGAAAAAGCTACGGCGCTGAAGACGAACAGGAAATCCCAACCAAGGACACGTACACGTATGCGTACGTGCTGACGTAATTTGACGTGCTGACATAATTTGACGTACTGACGTACACTGGGTCAAGCCATCACGCCATGCCACGCCGTACGTCACATGTCACGTCACACGCCACGACGTTACACGTCACGCACCCATTTGAGGGTCTCCAACGCCGCCGCCACCTGCGCCAGCCCGTCCGCGCGCCATCCCGGCAGCAATCGCTCGCCCAACCTCAGGTTTTCCGCGACCAACTTGGCCGGCACATTCGCCGTCGATCCCGCGTCACGCACCGCCGCCGCAAGCGCCGGCACGAGGTTCAGTGCGTACGGCGGCAAGAAGCCGTTCCTCTGCGTCGCCTGGTAGGCCATGATGGCATTGGCGCGGAACAACAGCTTGCCGTACAAATTTCCTGCCTCAGGGGGCACGCCGTACGCCGCCACGCCCGACGCCGCCACACCTACCGCCGCCTCAACAACGTTGCCGATGGTGACGGTGTCTGCGGTGGGATGCTGAGAAATGGCACGCGCCAGTGACGTGAAGTACGCATGCAGAAAGGCAGTGGTACGACGCGGGGGCTCCGATTGTCTTGGCGGGGCGCCGCCGCCGCCGCCGCCGCCACCACCGGCAGGGCAGCTCGCAGAGTCTTCTGGCGGCGGCGACGGCGGCGGCGGCGGCAGTAGCAGTCGGTCGACGGCGCCGAGCCACACGGTGGTCCGCAACAATCCGGATAGCTGTAGTGGCGTTAGGGTTGGCATCCAGGGCACGAGGGACTCCAGTGCGTCGTGAGCCCAGGTCAGTGCTGAGGGGCTCATGTGGTCACCGGAGCTGTGGTCACCGGAGCTGTGGTCACCGGAGCCAGTGCTGGAACTCGGGATGGATGAGGTCGCAGCAGCAGCAGCGGCGGAGGGGGCAATGGCAGTATCAGGATAGGGCATTAGAAGCGTGTCGGCAGCGTTGATTCGTGGCTTGGTGTCTGGTAGGGAGGGTGGGAGGTGTGTGAGGAGGGGGGATGCCGAAGACGGCAGGGGCGGCACGGACAACAGCGCGGTCGCCGCCGCTGTCTCAGCGGCTGTAGCGCCAACGGCGGCAGCGGGGTGCTGCCCTACATCAGCGGCTTGCGAGCCGCCGCCGCCGCCGCTGCCCAGCCGTCGCTGCGACGGCAGCTGCTGCTGCTGCTCCTGTACGACTGTAAATAAGGCCGCCCCGGGAAGCTGTGGAAGCGGAGACAACCCCGACGGCGCGCCTCCGCCGTCGGTGTTCCTGACAAGGCAACGGACAGCGGCGCCGTCAGCTTCCCTGACGGCAACCTCGCTAGCTCTGCTGCCGCCGCCGCCGCCGCCGCCAGACCCTCTATCGCTGTCTCTATCGCTGTCCCTATCGCTGTCGTCGAAAAAATTTTCCCCATCCTTTCTCCTGACCATTCGTGACAGCAAGTACAGCACCGACGCCAAAGTCCCCGCGAGGACCTCGTACTCTCGTTGTACGGCAGCACCGCCGCTGCGACTTCCACCGCCGACGTCGGTCGCGTCAGCTGCGTCGCTGCTGCCGTGTTGCATCACGGGAGAGCGATTGGGTCCGACCCGCGCCCACATCCGGGACGACATCCGGCGGCCGTGCAGCCCTGTACGACGTTGCCACTGGCCCTCGCTGCCGCCGCCGCCGCTGCTGCTGGTGGTCCTGCCGAGCCGCTGGTCATCTCGGTCCGCGGCGGCGCCGTCATCCCCTTTCCACCCCTGCCTGCCACTGCTGGCCTGTGCAGGTAAACCCAGGCCGCTGTTGCAATGATCGCCATTCGCAGTCACAGCCGCAGTCGCCTGCGGGGCTGCGGCGCGCAGCTCACCAGCCGCCGCCATGCAGACCTCCCGTACTCCCCGTAGCAGCGTCGTTGACGGCGCCGTCCCCGTCAGGCTGTACAGCTCCAACATGTCGCGCAGGAGCCACAGCTTCGGCGGCGGCTGCCACGCCGGCGCCGGATCCGGCAACGACGATGAATTTGCAGCGGCATTATCATTGCCCATAGCAGTATCAGCAGCAGTAGCAGCAGCAGCAGCAGTAGCAGGAAACCCCTCCAGAGCACGCTCAGCTGCAACGGCGCTACCTCTGGCCGCCGTCGCTGTTGCCGCCGCCGCTGTTGCCGCCGCCGCTGTTGCCGCCGTCGCTGTTGCCGCCGTCGCTGTTGCCGCCGCCGCTGTTGCCGCCGTCGCTGTTGCCGCCGTCGCTGTTGCCGCCGTCGCTGTTGCCGCCGTCGCTGTTGCCGCCGCCGCTGTTGCCGCCGTCGCTGTTGCCGCCGTCGCTGTTGCCGCCGCCGCTGTTGCCGCCGCCGCTGTTGCCGCCGTCGCTGTTGCCGCCGCCGCTGTTGCCGCCGTCGCTGTTGCCGCCGCCGCTGTTGCCGCCGCCGCCGCCGCCGCGGCGTTGGCTGCCGTCTCTACCGTCGGCCGTGGCGGCAGCGCGCGCGTCAGCATGTCCTCAAGCAACTGCATGTACTCGGGATCGATCGGCTGACCTAGGTGGTGCAGCGGCAACAAAAAGCGGGACACCAGGTCGCGCATACCGATCGCCGGCACGTGCGCCGCCTTGGTGGGAGCAGCGCCGCGGCCGCGATGACGATAGGGGCGGCGGCGGCTGTGGCTGCCTTCGTCGCCTCCGCCTCCGCCTTCGCCTCCGCCTTCGCCTCCGCCTTCGCCTCCGCCTCCGCCTCCCTGCTGCACGGAGGCCACCTTCCACCGCGCCCGGGCCTGCTCGCTCTGACGCAGCATCTGCAAACCGCGATCGTGCAGGACTTGCATCAGCTCCAGGTCCCTGAGCCAGCGGCGACACGGGGAAGACGGCGACGGCAGCGGCGGCAGATACGACATGTTAGGTACGATTAAGAGCGGCGGCGACGCATCGTTGTGGAATAAGCGCCGGCGGCGGCGACGCTGTACGACATGAGCAGCAGCCTCCCTCCCGCGTAAAACCCCACCTGACGCGTCCTGCCGACATGCCGGCCACCACGCACAGCATGTACGGCCAGTCCATGATGTGCGTGCCGTACACCTCCAGGAGGCAGGACAGGCGGCGAGCCACGAAATAGAAGGCGGACAGGAAGCGAGGTCGCGGCATGAGCTTGCTGTTGTGCGGGAACTCGACGCTCTAAATTTTTAAGGGGGCGAGCGGGTGGTGGAGGGCCGCGATGGCGACGGCGGTGGTCGTCATGGTGGCGACGGTGATGACGGTTCAATAATATAAGATGTAGAGGAGGTGGGGGGGGGAGGAGTGTGTAGGCGGGGAGGAAAGGGAAGGAGGGAGGGCGAGGAGGAAAATCTTAGCATGAAGTTTTGGCCGGTAATGGACTACAATAACTTTTAAGAACTGCTATGATAGACCGGCCTTACTGAGGCATAAACAAACATACAAACATACATACATACTGACCGTGCTGGCTATACGGATCATTCGAAAGGCCTCCCGTACAGCCCTCATGTCCATCAGCGGCAGGCACCAGTCCAGGGAGTCCACTAACAGCTTCGCATCCGCACTGGCGGTTATACGGCCAACCACCAACTGCCTGTTCGTCCAAAGAGCAGAGGTTATCGGACGGGACCCCCGGGGGTTCCAGAGAGGGGGGCGAGGGGACCAGAGGGGTGGTACGGGAGGAAAAGGATGAGACCGAGACGCGGTGAGGTGAGGTGGGGTTTAGGAAAGACGGCCCGTGGCAAAGCGCGATGCACAGTACGACGTGGAACGGTGAGATGTACGGCACCGGTGCATCCGAAACCAGCCTTATTTTTCCAGACGGTTAGGCGAGCAGGGCACGGGCAGGGCAGGGCTCCTCCTTCTCCCTCCTTCCCTTCCTCCTCCCCCTCCTCCCCCCCTCCCCCTCCGTTCCCGAGTCGTCATCCCGAGGTTACAGTCGTCACAGTCGCCACGGACGCCTTTCGGTCAGTTCTTTCGGTTGCTACTTTCTTGCCCTGGCAGCAGCTTAAATCGCGTGTGGTTCGTCTTTCCCCTCCGTTCCCCTCCCCCAAGCAGCCCTACCAAGGGCCCCACCTGATGTAGTGCAGCGCCTCTATCCGCGCGGGGCTGAGTCGGCCTTCCTCCTGATCTGGGTCAACGAACGGCGGCAACACGTCCGGGCCGTCGACCCGCTCGCCGCCACACGCATCCATCGCCGCGCCGCCGCCGCCGCCGCCGCCGCCGCTGCCCGCACCTGGCCACCGTTGTTGACCCTCGTCCCGATGGTGCGCTGCCGCCGCCACGCCAGCCTCGTTTTCCCCGAGGCCTTCCGGATGCGGCGGTGGCGGCACACCTGCACCTGGGACTGCTGTACAGGGGTTGGCGTCTGCGAAGCTCTCCTCGTCCTCATTGCCGTCGTCGTCGTCGTCGTCGTCGTCATCGCCGTTGCCGCCGGTGGCGCCAGGGGTAATGTTCCCCCCGATGGTGGGTGCAACGACGGGATGGGTAGCTGTGGTGACACTGGGTTCACCCAACTGCACCTCCTCCGGGGACCTGACGGAGAACACCTGATGACGTGTAGCGCCGCCTTCCGCAGCATCCACAGCGCGAAAGGACCCTGCTACTGCTCCCGCCCCTACGTCTTGCTCACCAGCTGCAGCAGCAGCAGCAGCAGCAGCCGTGGCCCTGGCGGCGTCCCGCCAGCCGCGCTGCTGCCTGCTGGTGGTGGTGGTGGTGGTGCTGCGGGTCGCTGCTGCTGCATCGTCTTCCACGGCAGTCGGTGACGGTTCGCTTAAAGGCTTCCTAGCCGGCTTTTCTACTGCTTTTATTGCCGGATCTTCTAGTCGCTGGCGTTTGGTGACGGCGCCGCTGATTGCCCGTGCGTGTTCCACACTCGGTGCCCTGCCGCTGCCATTGCCGCCGTCTCTGCCTTGCCTGCCGCGGCGGATCAATGGTGTTGCCGCTGCAGCGGCGGGGGCATGACGCGCTGACGCCAAACTCCTTTGATTGCCCTCTTTCCGAGGCGGCGCTGCTTCGACCGCCGCTTCCGCTGCCCCACCGCCGGTCGCCGCCGCCGCCGCCGCCGCTGCCTCCGCCTCCCTCTCGTAATCATCCCACCACGCCAGCCGCCAGCTGCCTTGTTGAGAACTCCGGTTGCCGGCGGCAGGCGGCTGCAGCCGGCCACCGCTGTAGGCCCCGGTGACGGCGGGGGCGCTCCGGGACCATGCGGTAGGAGGGCCGGGTGTGGTGCCGTCAGCGCTACTGCTGGCCATTCCACAATTGGAATCATTTACGCTACTGCTACAACCGCTACCGCTACTGTCACCGCCGCCACCGCTCCCGCTGCTGCTGCTGCTGATGCCAGCACCGGAGACGGTGCCTTCAGGCGTGGCTGTAGCATTCGTACGAATGAGTCTTGAAGCGGCGTGCTGCTGCCGGAGGGGATCCTTGTGGGCCATTCCCTCACCCCTGTCCGCTAGGGCCGCCTGGGTGTCTGGGCGCCTTGCCTCGCCGGCCATGGTGCCGAGGGTGTGGCCCGCTCGGCCGCGTCCCCCTAACGCTGATTGGCTCAGCACCAGCCCCTTTGGTAGGCCCCTGCGCGGGGTAGTTGCCGCACCATGAGCTGCCGCACCGGTTGACGCTTGGGCGGTTTGGCCCCTGCTGAGCCGGCGAGCATGCAGCCGAAAGCGATGCTGGAACGAAGGTATGATGGTCTGGCGCCGGGTGCAGTTTGCCGGCGCTGTAGCAGCAGGGCTTGATGGCACTGAGTAAGGCCACACCGATGCACCGCTGCTGAGCACCTGGCATCCCGTCATCACAGACGCAGAATGCACTTTAAATTTGTTGCCCAAAAGCTGTCCCGGTGACGTCGCAGGGCGTCCACCCTAGAGCCCGTATGTCTGTGGCCGCCAAACCCTCCGGAAAACATAGTGGCTTTCGAAAAGCGACATGTGCATCATTTACGCTTTGATATACTGAAAAACTACCATTTCGTATTGAATGATCGAAATACAGATGCAGCTTCTTGTTTCAATTCTGTCGATAAACAGTCTGCTTACTATCTGAGATAGTTCTACGGAGCTAAACCAGTTCTAACCGTATGTTTACCCAACGTATAAATTGTCAATTTTGAGAGTTATCTGTAGGTAAGCCCTTTGAATTGGAATTGATGCATAACTGCATGCAAATGCGTTCAAGGTCTCGCGGACTCGCGCGGCAGGCCTAGAGTACAAGGCTAATACTATCAGCAAGCATAAGCGCCTTGATGGTCAAGAAACATGTCGTGATCAGGAGCCTGTCCAGAGGCCCGCCTAAATAGTAGGCTAGATAGTAAGACCGCGCGCAGCTTGGTTAAAAACAAGTATTAGTTCCGATAGTTATGGTGGATTTCACGCCACGCGTTTGTATGCACAGTTCAAAGAGTCGACAGTCGCGTCTTCAGACCACGTTGGTTTGGAAGTTCGTTAGTCATTATTAAGGCTCATAAAGTCTCACCGGGCGCCAGACCTATCATCCATGGATCACGCATTACATGTACACACTCCGTCCATGGGCTTGGCTTGTGAATTGGCCACGCCCTCCTTCGTGTGTTCCAGAGTGTTCTCAGCGGATTCAACGGTCGCGGACAGAGAAGGTGCGGTGCCGCACAGGATGGACGATTCGGTGCACCTGGTCGCGCTGCCTCTTTATTGGTGTGCAAGCACAGCAAATTATAGCTTGTATGTTGCAAAGACAGGAACAGCTAAAAGGCCAGGAGGTCCTTGGGAGTCCCTGGGGATGGAGGGCATGCATTCGTACAGGCCAGCTTGTACTGGAAATGGCCCACATAATGTACAGTCCATCCTTTCGCTGATGCGGAACAAGAGATCAGCCAGGAATATTATGAGGAGAAAACCGGGATGGCTGGCAAAACGCAAAAAGGGGCAACGAGGGGCGAAGGAAAGCGCGCTCCGCATGGGAAAATGTTTACCACCAGTGCACGCATCGCAAGGGTGGAAGACAGAAGGAACGCAGCGCGGCCGCACCATGCGTCGCCACGCCATTTTTGATTGGTTTCCATGGGTACCGCGTTGTTGCTAGGACACTCAAGGACATTGGAAGTCAGGATTTCAGGGCTATTTTGCCACTACTTTCTTGAGAATTTATAGTTCAATTAAAATGATAGACTTGGGATGGAGATCCGTTATTCGACAAGGTGAAGCAGGTGCTGCGGTTGACAGTTATTCCGTCACAAATGTCCTTGTTTGTGTGCCATCCGCGAAACTCAGTCATTCTTTATTCATCATAGTGATTATGTGCCACGCAGAAGCAGTTCTTATGCGCTAATTAGTCATGTATTGACCTATGTTACACAGACTCGCTGGCCGTGTGACCGCGACTGAGAAACCAGCATTAAACACCAACTCCAATTGAAATTACGATGCCTTCACAACTTTCTGAAGAAGTATTCCTTCAAGTGTGTGCTGAGATTCATGCTGAAACCGGTCACACAGCGCACGTGGTCGACGACACGTGGAGCTTGCCTACATGGAACGGCCTGCTTATTGATTCTCCTTTAATAAAGCCCAAACGCCCATCTTGCTGCTTCCAGCCGCGCAACAGTAATGACGTTGCGGCAGCTTGCAGAGTCGCCGCGCGGCACGGGCTCAAAATCTCCGCTCGAGGTAACTCAAATCTTATCCTAAATTTGGTTACCTTTAAATATTTTTGCGTCCATCTTTGTGGATTGCGCTCCTTGCACGGCAGTACCAGCAGCGTACACCCCGTCCCCCGACCTCGGCATCCCGCCCTAAAGCATCGCATCCCTTTGGTCCTTAATCCTCCTCCGCACCTTCTCCTTCTACTTTTCATCCCTGCATCTCCCCAAGCATCCACTTCCCCACAGCACACGCTACACAACTTCCTCCTCTCCCTTTCCTTTGATATCCGCTTCTTCCCACCTACACCTATATACATACATTATACACATATGTCTGTAATATTCCAGGCAGCGGCCACCACTACGGCGGCATCAGCCTGGTGGAAGGAGCGCTGCTTCTGGACTTGTCCGCCCTCAGAAACGTTCAGGTGCGTGAGGTAGGCTCACCGCATTTTCGCTGTGGGCTGCTAGGTGGCGGGAAAACGGCCCTTGGGCTGCCGGCGTGTGGGACTCGTAACGACTTAGCTAATGGGAAGGTGACGTCCCGCCAGGAAAAAAAGGGGAGAAGCTAGGAAGAGGGGAGAAGTTAGAGAGGAAGGGGACGCGAGAGTTTTAGGTGTCAGGCATCACGTGCGCTAAGTACGGCAGTCTGTCAGTGAACTCCCAGGGGACGCCTCCCGGCTTTCCGCCTCTCAAGAGCCATCTCAGCCGTCTTTAAATTAGGGAAGTCTCAGCTTCTTCGAAGCGGAAAAGGGCTCTCGGCCCCGATGCAGCCAGCAGTCGCCCCGCAGTATTCCGCAGGGAAGGCTGTACAGCACTGGGCTGCAAGTGGAGGAACGATGTCGTGTTTCGGACTATACGCACGTTATCATGGATAGCTGCGAGAGCCGGGTGCGGCGGCCGGCGGCATTGGAGTGATGTACGAATCTGGTGTATATGCTTGCTGCTAGGACGCCAATGCAAATCCATGGATGGTGCATTGCGCGCCGCCTCCATCTCAACAAGAACGACTGAAGCATCTGTAGCCTCCTGGTACTGCGCGAACCCAGTTCCCCATTGCTAGTTGAACTGGAGGAAAGGATATGTATGAGATGTGAGCGTGAGATGAAGGACAGAAGGCAAGGAGGGAAGTGCTGTAGCAGTTGGCATGGATGGTCTGCTGGAGTTGCGGAGTGTGGTGATGAGCTGAACCATATTTAACTGAAGGTTTTTTGAGAGTCACGATAGAAAACCGAGATTTTCTGTGAACTCAGAAAAAGAGTTGGTTGTGCGTGTTGGTACGGCAGGTAATGCCAGTTAAGGAGGTCGCTCTGGTGTGCTAGGAGTATTTTCCGGGTTTCGTAGCTACATTAGGTCGCTGCTGTGAGGCGTTAGGTGTCCAGGCCTAGTGGATTGCCTCGCGGTAGCTGGAGCCTCCACCCAGCCTACTGTGGCGGAGCTGAGCCATAGTTAATCCAAGGGAAAGAGCGAGAAAACTGCGCGGCCGCGCAGCAATTACAGCAGCTTGAGCAGAAGCACCCGGGCGCCCCAGCGTGCACGCACACCGCAACCAGTAGCTTTTAAATGCAATGTAATCCTCAGTTCAGCGCGGCATCATGAGACACGACGCTGACTGACAGACAGACAGACAGACAAGAGTGAACCCCAGGGCCTCGGCTCCCAAACACACATACGTCACATCATTGAAATATGCACCACATATATACATACATATGTGCACAAGTACACATACACTGCTTTTTCTTCTGTAAAGTTACTCTTGTACCGGCCTCGCCATTTCCTGACCGCGTGGGTCAAGTCTCTTAAGACACAAACAGGCATACACACAGACATACACACTGACATACATACACGCAACAACTGCTTTCCGCAGGTGGACCCCTCCTCGCGGCTGGCGCGGGTGGGTCCGGCAGTCACCTGCCGGCAGCTGCGTGCCGCCCTGGGCCCCCACGGACTCCACTTCCCGCTGCCCCACCTGTCGGACGTAGGGCTGTCTGGCTACCTGCTAGGCGGGTGGTGGGAGTGGGGGTGGTGGAGGTGTAGTAGGCGGTTTAGGGGTAACCTGGTAATGAGGGGAGGACTTGAAGAGCAACCGCCTGAGTTGGGCTGGGGCTGGGGCTGGGGTGGAAATGATGGTGGGTGCATGGCGGGTAGGCGGAGGGGGGGGTTCAGTGCACACAGGGGGCAGAGACCGGGTGACCAGGGCAGTGGTGGGGGAGGGCAGTGGTGGGGGACGGCAGAGCGGAGTTGACGTTTGCATACATTGCTACAGCTTGTGTGTTGTGTGCATTGGGAAAGTCACGTCGGTGTGTACGGGGCCGTCCTTATGGCCGGACGCAAGCCCCGCGCCCCGGACTTGCGGCGAGGGGAGGAGCAGATAGTTACAAAACGCGAGATGGCGCGTGTGTTTAGGGGGGTAGGGGGGTAAATGCAGGGTAGGCTGGGTGTGTATGTCGTATATTGCCAGAGTCCGCTGTCGTCATTGTCCTACCCCTTCCCCCCGATTGGCACTGGCACTCCCCCCTTCCTTCCACACTTTCATCACCATGCAGGCGGTGGCAACGGTTGGGGTGTACGGCAGTGGGGTGCTGCAGCGGACAATGTGGAGGAGATGGAAGTGGTGCTGCTGCAGGGAGGAGGTGGCAGTGGCAGCGGAGTGGAGTCAGAGTCCTCCTCCGGGTGTTGTGGTGTGGTTCGTGTCAGTAACCGGAGCGACCGCGAGCTGTTTTGGGGACTTCGTGGTGGCGGTGAGGCGGCTGCAGCTACAGCAGCAACCGCAGCAACAGCACACCACACACGTACATATATACATACATACACACGGACGCACACGCGTATCTAAACCCCAGTGCTGCGTTTTGATGATGGCGTGCGCGATGCTTCACCTTTCCTTTCCCTCCTCTTCCTTTCCCTCCTCTTACCTCGAACGAACGAACGAACGAACGAACGCTGAAAGAACACGTCAGGTCGTGCCACTGGACGTGTGGGCAACCTTTCCGCTCCTTTCCCTCTCTCTCCTTCTCGTTGGCAGTTTGCTCTCTCCCTCTGTCTGTCTGTCTGTCTGTCTGTCTCCCTCTGTCCCTCTCTTTCTGTTTCCCCCTCTTCCCCCACCACCGCACCCCCATTCTTCTCCCTTCCCCCCCCCCGGGGCCCCTCACGCGCATAGGCTCCTTCCTAGGAGTGGCGACGGAGTTCGTGTTACGGCTCTATGTCGTACCGCCCCGGCTGCCACTCATCACCGCCACCTATCCGCTACGTCTGCTGGGTCAGGTGTGTGTCCTAGTGTGTCCAGGGGTCCAGGGGTGTGTGAGTCCTGGTGGGTCGAAACTGTCCAGGGAGGGGAAAAGGGAGGGGAGGGCGGGAAAGAGAGCCGAAACAAGAAAAGCCGAAACACACGGTTGTCATCTCGTTCACGTGGGTAACCAGGTGGTGTGATGACCTGCAATTGTGTTGGGTTGGGGAAGGCGGGAAAAAGGGGAAACGTGAAAATGCAGCGCGTATGTGCGTGCGTGTGTGTTTGTGTCCTGTGTAAACATACATGTATGTGTGTATGTATGTACGGATGCGTGCAGCTCTGTGAGTTCTTCCGGGAATTCCACTGCACCAATCCCGCCTGCGTGGAGGCTTCCATGGCCGTGGTGGGAGGCGGTGAAGACGACGGTGGCGATGGCGGCGGCAGCGGCAGCGGCGGCGGCGGCCTCAGTGACGACGGTGGTGCTGCTGTCGTGCTGCTGTCCTGTCATGCGTTTGCGGAACCTGGGAGCCAGGAAATCGAAATGTCGTACTCCAAGGTACGTCCTCCTTATCTACAGTTCTGGTTTCATAGAACCCGAAACCAATTTTCTTAAGTGCAGTGTCCATGACGGCGGTGCGGCCGGCCATACAACCGTGTAACCCCACCCCACCCCACCCACGCGCGTATTCCCCCCCTCTCTCCTGACGCAGTTGCGGGCGCTGTATCCTGACGCCCGTTTGTCACTCCAAGAGGGGCCTATGCCGTACGAGGAGGCGCTTTCCGTACTGGATGCCTCCTGGAGTTGGCCGGGCCTGTGCATGTACGGCCATGGCGTGTTCGTACCCGTGCCGTCGCTGCGTGACTATGGCGGCGATGGAGACAACGGTGGTGGCGGCGGCAGTGTGGCGGCCGTACTGGCCGCCGCTGCCGCCAGCATGACGTGCCGACGTTCCATTCTTTTGGTGTGCCCCAGCGCCCCTTCAATACCCGGTTGTGCTGCTGCTGCTGCCGCCACCATCACCGCCGCCGCCGTCGCGCCTGCCGTACAAACCGCCGCCGCTGCAGGCACTGTTGGCGACGGGAATGTGCCGTGCGCTGCAAGACAAGGAGAAGTAGAATTCGTCCCCGGGTCATTGAGCTTTCGAGACACGTTTTACCTGGGTATTTACGGCATGTGGACCCGCAGCCAGGTATACCGTACGACAGTACGACTGTACTCGCGTGTACGACTGTACTTCGCACTGTTAAGTTCCCACCCAAACGACAATCGCGACCACGGATGGGATGTATAGATGGATAGTAAGTAAGAGGACTGCTAAGTACGAGGCCCCAGCTCAACCTCCATGGCACACGGCCGACAACCCCAAAGCGAACACAAAGCTAATCACGGCCTCAGCACCTCCTCTCTAAACAACTTCCCCCCCCGCACCAGTCATGGGCCAGGTCAAATGTCTCAGAGGGGGAGAGGGAGTTATAGCCAGCTAAAGGCCTGAGGTCGTTTCTTATGGTAGCGGCGGCTGCGGTGCGGACTGCGGCGGTAGTGTCCGCCTGCTGGCGTACTCGAAGAGCTCCCCCCGCTGCCCCGGAGGTCCATATGGACGCTACGAGACCCGCCTGCTGTGTCCATCCTGTGTTGGGAGACGGTCGTTAATGCTGCAAGAATGTCGGCGAAACATTCAGTCGGCGAAACATCTTCAGTGTTGTCTTCATGATGACTCCTTTCTGCAATGGCGGCGCTCACACAGGCTTTTTTTGCCTTAGGTGGAGGGAGGGAAGGGGTTGGGAAAGTGGCCCTCCCAAAGCCAAACCACCCAAAGTGAACTGCTGTGAGCCACAGCGTGGTCATGCGGTCGGCATCAGTTCTGGTGGTTCCCACCTACCACCCACCCTCCGGGATCTTGCCTCCCCCTACCCGCCGCTGCTGCCGCCGCCACCGCCGCAAGTCGCTTCGTCATGTTAGGCTTCCCGCTCCCCTTGGACGTCTGTCGTACATTGACTATTTGCGCCTTGCATGGTACAAATTTCCCCCTGGGATTTCAGGAAGGGGCCATCGTCGACGGTGACGCAAGCCACGTGGGATGGGTACGAACTTGTGCCACCGCCCTGGAGCCGTACACTGTCGGATTGTACGGCAATGAGGTGATGCACGACGAGCGGGGGCAGGTGCGGCGCTGTTACGATGAGGCGTCGTACAGGCGGCTGCTTGCGCTGAAGCGGCGCGTGGATCCTGTGGGGCTACTGCGGTCACTGTAGCGGTTGTGTGTGTGTGTGTGTGTGTTACATGGTCGTGGGTGTGTTCCCCGTACCTGCAAACTGCCCTAATACGAGGCGAGGGCTCAAGGGCTGCCAGATCGCCTATACGCACCATCCTACGTCGCACTTCAAACAAAGCAAGTGATAAAGGATACTAACGACCAAAGGGAACGATAGAGCTGCGGTGGGACCATATACATTCCAGCATATCCTTGCCAGACGTTCAGGCTCCCACTTCATAGCGTCCTTCATATGGTCGAAGCGTGGGAAATCCATACCAGATCTGATTTTGTCGTACACCGGACAGTCCGGCAAAGCGGTTGTATCAGTTGTTGCCGCGAATGGCTGTAGCACCATGATGGATGTCCATCATGGATAAGAGGCGCGCGATAGCAGCATGCATTGGAGGGACGCAGGCAGCAAGGCTTTAGGCAGGAGGAGAGTTCGGAGGAGGGCATACCTCCTTTCCTGATTTTGTTACAGAGTGAGGGGCTTCTGGGCCACTTGAAGTCATTCTTGATGTGTGCGGCGGTTAACTTAGATGCAACGGAGCGTAGCGATCGGAACCTCGTCTCTGAGTCTGGTTCGTGTCATATATGTTACATGCTGTACACTTGTACTGACCGTTGCCCAGCAACATGTGTTTCCCCCCCCCAACGGTTCCGTCTGGGGCGCACGTATTAGTATCAGAGGCAACCTAAAATAAACTATTCTCTCATCATTTCATTCCACGCCCTAAGCCTAGTTCTGTGGTATGCCGAGCAGAGGCTGCCGGCCAGCAGAGAGGAGGAGGACGCGTTTTGCTTTCTGCACTGTGTGTGGATTGCGTCACCTTATCGTGGGCGGACACACACGGCCAGGCAGACCAGGACTTCTTCGTTACAGCAGGATAGCTGATTCCTGCTCCGTGCATGTCCTCACCCGTCATGCCACTCTTTCCTGCAAATATGTAAGACATGACTAGCTCGGTCAGTGCAGTTGCATGATGGACGTTGATGTCGATGTCTGTTGTATCACGTCTTATAATTTGTTTTATCACGTCTTATCGCAGGAAAAGAACCGATTGGCGGATGCTACATCCCGTGATACCCAGGATACTACAATCCCAAATGATGGGATGACACTTCATTGCCTGCTAAATGAACCCCAGCAGGAAGACCACGCACCTGGTTACATGGGCCAGACGTGTGCAGTGCCAGAGCCCACCAGCTGGGCAACTGCTTTGCGCTCTATCACACTGTGTGCTTGGTCACAGAGGCATGATTGCCGCTGAACTGAACTAGGGTGGGAATGGCAACCCCTTCTCCCACCACAGGGGTAACAGTTTATCACCCTGGAGAGGACGAATGTGTTCATTACCCATGCCTTCCACGCCGCTGCGTGGTGTTTTAGCCTGCTGTGCATCTGTGGCTGCTGCTTGTGTGTTGGGGGCTTTGCTGCAGGGATGAGTGCTGGTTCCCCGCCGCTGTGTATTCACCTGCGCCTCCTCCAGAACCCATGCTTGTCACCGGTCGTTGTTTCCTGTGCAGAACTGTGTGGCGCTGTGCTGGTCGGTGCCGGTGTAACCACTGGGCGCCGCAAAGCACCGGCCTGCACTGCCTGTCTGCCATTTTCCTGGCTGCTTATCATGTGGCGGCGGGACTGGGGCTGAGCCTGACACAGCTATTTCTGCACTCTGCTGCCCGCCAAACAGCAGGATGTTGCAGTCCAAGGTCCAAGGTGTGCCGCACACCGGGTCCTCCAGGAGCCCCAGTTCAATCCCAGCATCCCCCCCAATGAGGGTGAGACAGACATTGTTGTATCCTGTAAAGCTTTCTCCACGGTTTGGGCTCCGAATCCTAACTGTTGGTGATTAGCTCGTCCGGTCCGATTTACCGAACTTCACTGTTACTAACTAAAACCCGACAATCCCGCTGTCGGTGATTACAGGTCTAACTAATACTGATATCAGTTTACTCATGGCTACTGTTAGCTGCGGCGGCTAAAGCGACTACTGATAGTCGTCCGCCAACTGAATGCCGCACCGCTGCGGAAGTCCATACCTGCGTATGGGCGAGGGGTATTACCTGTGTAAAGCTGTGACCTGCGTCTCTGTTTCGTCTGACCGAGCGAGAATAGTTCCTGCGAGCTATGGCTTCTGGATACCGCGCCGCCCAGTCGTACTGGGGACTTCTCGACGCGAGGCCCAAGTGGAGTCACTGATGACTGTTTATTCAATACATTTCCCTCAATCGGTATCTTTCGATGCACCCATTTTGTGGTTGTGTCGTCTGAACTGTACAACAAATCTGGTATCGAGACGGGTTCCTTACGGGCCAGTCTCATTCCTGCTTCCGCACATCTTCTTTCAGTTAGTACTAATATGCACTTACCTTCAGAAGTGATTTCGTCGACCGACTCCGAAGATCTGGGCCCTCTGGCTACTTTAGCTACTGACCTCGGTAATGCGGTGATGGCTGCCGCTGCATCCACGGGTTGGTAATCGGCCATCTCTTCCTGCCGAAGTAACCTTCGTTTTGCTTCCTTTAACCTATTTTTAGATTTGCAGGCCCTCTCGTGGTAGCGGGTGCCTCTATTCCTACCTCTGCTGCGATCCCTCGCTTGCACGAGCTTGTGCGCCTTTCCCGTAGTACATTTCAAGCGATCAAGGAGGTCCAGCTCTGTGCCGAGGAAATCTTGTATTTCGGTAGGACTACCTTTTCTATCTCGCTTCACTTTGCTGTTCGGGTCGGGTCGTCCTGCGGTGTGGCCTCGAACCCCGGAAACGCGCCTGTACCTGTCCTCATTTGTTGTCAGCAGGGAGCCGTAAGTGTTGTTCCCCCTTCCTGGTACAGAGCGGATGGGGCACCCTGGCCGCACACGGATGGTCGAAATTCTTCGGCATTCTTCGAAATTGATTCGTGCCAGCGCAACAAGTCTATCTCTGGTAAGCCTCATGGACTACTACAGCCTTTGCCTGTCCCTGCGGCTCCTTGGGAGAGTGTGTTCATGAACTTCGTAGTTGTGCTACCCAAAACAGAGGAGGGATATGACGCGGTGTTGGTTCTAGTCGAAAATGGTTCACCTTGCACACACCACGTCATCCTGCACTGCAGAGCACACTGCACGTTTATTTTTTGATAACGTTGTGCGTCTGCATGGCGTTCCAAGTCTGTCGTGTCTGATCATGGCAGTCAGTTTACGAGTGAATTTTGGGACGCACTGGGGAAGTTGGTAGGTATGCGCATAAACCTCTCTACTGCCTACCGCCCCCAGCCTGATGGTCAGACAGAGTATACTAATAGGACTTTAGGTGATATGTTGCGTAACTTCGCGGGCCGAACACCCTCTGTCTGGGATACCTACTTGACGGCTGCCGAGTTCGCGATTAATAATGCCGCTAACCGTTCGACTGGTCAAAGTCCTTTCTTCCTAAATTACGGTTACAATCCTGTTCTGCCTGTTTGGCGCGAGCTTGACGTAAACGTACCCGCGGCTAAGACATTTGCCAAGTCGTTTGTGTCCGAGGCTATTACCTGCCTGGACTCAGTACAACAGCGTGCAGCAGACTATTACAACAAGCCAAACGAGACATCACCTTCACCAAGGGCCAGCTGGTCATGCTGAGTACCAAGAACCTGCCTTCTCTGGCCGAAGGGTCTTGTAAGCTGTTGCCTCACTGGGTTGGGCCTTACCCTGTTGTGCGCATGGTGGGTTCGGTTGCTGTACAACTCGAACTGCCTTCTGAAATGCGTGTTCATCCTACCTTTCACGTATCTTTGTTCCGTTCATATCGTGGGTTTGTACCCATTCTGGCAGTGCCTGCGCCTCCTGCTGCTATAGAGGCCACACCCACTACTTGGTTGTCTGGTAAGCAAACCATGTATGCCATTGAACGTATTTTGGACTATCGGACCCGATATGTGGGTACGGCTAGGCGCAAGTGTACTGTTCACGAGTACTTGGCCAATTGGGTAGGGTACTCGTAGATAACAGTAGTCGCTTTAGCCGCCGGCGCCCGTGGACTTCCGCAGCAGTGCGGCATTAAGGTGGCGGACGACTAACAGTAGTCGCTTTAGCCGCCGCAGCTAACAGTAGCCGCAATTAAACTAATAGCAGTATTAGTTAAAACCTGTAATCACCGACCGCGGAATTGACGGGTGTTAGTAATATTGAAGTTCGCTAAATCGGAGTGGACGAGATAACCACCGACAGTTAGGATTCGGAGCCCAAACCGTTGCAGAAAACCTTTACAGGATACAACAACTATTCCCCCCCTAAATGCGACGTCCCCGTCGCATACGGATCGCTATGCAAAACAAGATTAGTAATACCAGCTAACGCGCTGCCACCCGGGACTGCACCCTACGATGAGCCGCATCGAGCAACGGTTTAAGGTCTGGGGCGAAGTTACGCGCCGGTTCCCAGCTGTTGTGTTCGGACGAATACCCAGCCCATTTGACTAAGTACTCGTGCACAGTGCGCTTGCGCCTAGCCTTACCCACGCGTCGGGTCCGATAGTCCAAAATACGTTCCACTGCATACTTGGTTTGCATACATGGTTTGCTTACCAGACAACCAAGTAGTAGGCGCGGCCTCTATAGCAGCAGGAGGCGCAGGCGCTTCCGGGATGGGTACAGACCCACGATATGGACGGACTAAGGACACGTGAAAGGTAGGGTGAACACGCATTTCAGAAGGCAGTTCAAGTTGCACAGCAACCGAGCCCACCATGCGCACAACAGGGTAAGGCCCAACCCAGCGAGGCAACAGCTTACGGGAACCTTCGGCCAGAGAACGCAGGTTCTTGGTGCTTAGCATGACCAGTTGGCCCTTGGTGAAGGTGACGTCCCGTTTTGACTTGTTGTAATAGTCCGATGCGCGCTGTTGGGCTGAGTCAAGGCATGCCTTAGCCTCTGTCAGTCGGGACACAAACGACTTGGCAAATGTCTTAGCCGCGGGTACGTTTACGTCAAGCTCGCGCCAAACAGGCAGAACAGGATTGTAACCGTAATTTAGGAAGAAAGGACTTTGACCAGTCGAACGGTTAGCGGCATTATTAATCGCGAACTCGGCAGCCGTCAAGTAGGTATCCCAGACAGAGGGTGTTCGGCCCGCGAAGTTACGCAACATATCACCTAAAGTCCTATTAGTATACTCTGTCTGACCATCAGGCTGGGGGCGGTAGGCAGTGGAGAGGTTTATGCGCATACCTACCAACTTCCCCAGTGCGTCCCAAAATTTACTAGTAAATTGACTACCACGATCCGAAACGACAAACTTGGGAACACCATGCAGACGCACAACGTTATCAAAGGATAAACGTGCAGTGTGCTCTGCAGTGCAGGATGACGTGGTGTGTGCAAGGTGAACCATTTTCGACAGCAGTTGACTAGAACCAACACCGCGTCATATCCCCCCTCAGTTTTGGGCAGCGCAACAACAAAGTTCATGGACACACTCTCCCAAGGAGCCGCAGGGACAGGCAAAGGCTGTAGTAGTCCATGAGGCTTACCAGAGATAGACTTGTTGCGCTGGCACGAATCACAGGAGAGGGCTGGTTTCTCGGCATCCTTAGCCATCCACGGCGGCCAAAAAGAACACCGAAGAATTTCGACCATCCGTGTGCAGCCAGGGTGCCCCGCCAACAGACCGTCATGGAAACGGGAAAGCAGCTCTCGACACAGGGAATCGTCATTAGGGACGACAATTTGCGATAAGAGCCTTCCCTGCGAAGCCAAAGACCATCTTGCAGAAGAAGGTGACCCGTGTTATTAATGTCAGTAAACCAAGGGTCCCTAGCAGTAGCAGCCTTGATACATACAGACAAATCCGACCACTCCAGGGACACGGTGCGACGTGTAAAAGTAGCACAGCTAAAGTAGCCAAGGGACCCAAATCTTCAGAGTGGGCAAGCAAAGTCATTTCTGAAGGAAGGTCCATAGCAGCTGAGCGAGGATGAGCGGAATCAGGAATAAGACTGGTCCTTAAGGACCCCTGGCATTGGCCAAATACCTCTCGGAAATTTGGGAGGCCAGGCACGTCACGCTGAGACGCTTCACCCTGAAGCGGACCCGCATCAATACCAATACAACGTCCATGGCCCCCCCAGCTTTTACGGACACACCCGCACTTGTGTGCGGAACTTGTAACTTGTAACTTGTAACTTAAGGAGCCTATCTCGATACCAGATTTGTAGTATGCTTCAGACAACACAACCATGAGATGGTGGTATCGGAAGATACCGATAGAGACACGTGTTCTGAATAAATTGTCAACAGTGACTCCACTTGGGCCTCGTGTACGACTGGGCAACGCGATATCCACACGATATCACCCTAGTTCGTTAGCCAACTTCCACTCCGGGGCACAAGCTCTCCAGGGGGGGGATGATGCCATATCTCTCGGGAACTACTCTCGATCGGTCAGGCAAACCAGGGATGGTGAAGCGAAGTATGAGTGTAGAGGTAGGCAAGTTATTGTGAAGGAACTGCAGTGGTGCATGGAGGCAGGGCGCATGCATGCATGCATGTGCCGGACCACAGTACGGCAGGAGACTCTTGGGTCCCACAGGTGCATTGGTTCTTTAACTGCCGTTGTTTTGACTATTACCAAGAGGTGTGTCCCGCTGCTGGGACTTTGTCCTCTAGTTTCCCGCACCCACCCAGGAGTCAGTATCTTACTAATTGTCCTATATTATTGGTCTAATCTTGAAGTACCTGTCTATGTTCGTTTTCTCGTCAATCGTCTGTGCCTTGTCGTACCCCCCACCCACCCAGGGCAATCTCGGGGTTGCCTCAATGCAGCGGTCCCTGATTTTGTCTCTGCTGGCCTCGGGTGGGTCGCCCGGGTGGCTCTTTTGACCCTTGTCAGGGTGCTTGAGGTTGTAGGATTCGTTAACGGTGCAACACAGGTAACTGTCATTACTATCGGCCACTAGTGCAACTTTCACAATGGGTTGGTGTTGGGAGGGGGTTTTATAGAGGGTTGTTTTGCCATCGAGTTGTGCTTGTGGTTGGTGGCCTAGCTACTGTAATGCAACATGGCAGGACTGAGCAATAAATGGCGTACAACTATCGGTAGTGGAAAGCCGCCACAACTATCAGTAGTCGCAGGTAAACTAATATCTGTATTAGTTAGATCTGTAATCACCGACAGCGGATATATACAGATGTTAGTTAGTAACAGTAAAGTTAAGTAAACCGGACCAGCCAAGCTAACCGCTGACAATTAGGCTACGGAGCCACAAGTTGTGGGGGAAGCTTATGGGATACAACAAGGAACTAGAGTTCTGGGAGAGCTCCTTCAACAAGTTCAACGGCCGCCGTCATCTGTGGGTCTCCACCCAGCTGCATTTTCTCATCCTCTGTGGCGCCCTGGAAAATCTGCTGCATCCCTTGGCGGCTGGGGCGCCTGGACGGTTCTTGATGGGAAGCCAGGCATCACCCGTGGCAACAGGAACCCCAAATACAGCAGGATGGATTCCACACCGCAGAAGTTTCATGCCATCCTCCTAGCTGCCCAGTTGTCCAAAGGGCCCACAGGCCTATTGTAGTAGCTGGTACACAGTACGGCTCTACAAATACACATGAAGCACGACCACCAGCTTCTCGAGAGGCCTTTTCAGCAGCCAGCTACTACACCTATCCAGTCGTGCCGTCAAAGGTCCTGACGGATAACGTAAACACCACCACCATCACAAACAAAGGCTCCGCAAAAGCCCGCAACTCACGTGCAGTCACATGCATCTCCACGGCTACTGCTTTGAGCAAGACATCTGCCTGCAGGTGGAATAGCAGCCTCAGGAGGAAAACGGTTTAAGACAAGCTCACAAGTTTCTTGTCAAAATTGAAGGATGCCAATGACTGAAAACTGCACCCACACTCGTTCAGCTGGTCAAACATGAAATGGGGGCCATTTGATGTGGATCCGTGTAGTGTCCTGGATATCACGGGATCTGTCATCCGCTGATCGGTTCTTTTCTGCAAAAAGACATGATACAACAATCCGGGTAGGGTTTCATGTCCCATTCCATCTACCAACTCCTGGTGTACTACTCAGTCCTTCACGCCCGACAACACCATGGAGTTAGATGCCTTCTGCTTCACCTTGGGGAGACAATGCTGGGCCAACCCCCCTTTTGAGCATGATCCTCAGGGTGCTCCAGCATGCCGAGGTGTGCAAGGCCCACATGTGCCTCACCACCTGGTTGATCAGGGACTAGTGAGCCAGGCTCACCATGGATGGCGTGTGGTTGGAGGCTCCAGTGTTTTTTTTCGTTTTGGGCCTAGTACCCTAGAGTAATAAACTGGGTGTTTCTTGCGGTTACAATTCCTATTTGTATAGTCGCTTGGGGGGGGGCTGCACCTCCCCCAGACCCTGTTGGTGAGACGCTATCTCACAGGGACCTAACAGACAAGACTAAGGAGACATTAGCCGTTACACGTATTCGGGAGATCCGCGACCTACCACCGATAGCCCCTTTGCCTAGGCGTAAACGTGTGAATCTGAGGTACTATTACCAATAAACAGCAATGCCTTATAAAGGCTTGGAAAGCTTATCCAGATGGACGAGTTGGCAGTACTCTAGAACCTGCCAGCCGTTGCTCACAGATGGGCAGTCTTAAACAGGCCACAGCTGTTACTCACGACAACCTGACAAGTTACCTAAACAGGCCACGGGGCGACACGTCATCCCTTCGCATCAACAGACCCCCCCCATCAAAGGCCTTACGGTGTGCTGTAAACAACACCTGACGTCTGGAAACACACATGCCGTACCACCATCGTTCTGTGCACCTAACTGCATTTGCGCGTGCTGCGAAGCACCCGCCGTGGCGACATCTTGGGGCGGTGGCCCTTACTCGTCAGAATCAAGCTTATGGCGACTTATGGCCGAAGTAATGAACCAGTACGGCCAACTGACCAACGATTCCATTTCTTCCAGGCTCAGGCCCCCATTTATTCCCAAAAAAGTAATATATTACCAAAAAAAACACTGGTTGGAGCCCTTCATGCAGGGGGTTGTGATGCTGGACCGCACCATTAAATTCTTCCTGCCGGGCTCCAAATGGGAACACAGCTCCCAAGGGTGTGTGGCGGGACACCATGGCCCACCTCATTGACTTCAGCAACCCCAGCACCAACTGTGTCTGCGTCCCCACCAACCTGGTTGCCTGCCACTCAAAGACCTAGCCCCCTGCACGGGCCCACTGCTCGACACCCTTGGGGAAGGGGCCGACGTGGACCTCCTGGCCCTGGCCACACAGATTTGGTGCTGGGTCGACAGAATCACTGGTACCATGGACCGTGGAGGACTACACCCCCATGCAGGGTCAGTTCTGGAGCTGGTGGGAGGCACACAGCATGCCAGGCGACATCTTTATAGCTCCCCAGGTGAACTAGTCACACTCGACTTTCTGTTACTGCTCAACATGTCCCGGGCAGATGGCATTGGTCTGGGCTGTGTTCACTTCATGACCATGGCCACCAGCACCTATTTCTACAGGGCTGGGAAGGCGTCCCCACGGACCACCCAGCAGTGGTGTGGGCAAGCGGCTCCATAGCAAGCCGTTCCATAGCAGTGCGGCGCATTGGAACTGAGAGGACATTGCAGTGCTGGCTCGCCTGGTGGACGGCCCAGGCGTGCTATGCAACTACCTCATCCCCCACTCCAAGATGGACCAGCTTATGGAGGCCTACTGGCTTGGATTGCATGCCTGGGTGGCCTCTGCTGCCAGCGCCTGCTGGCACAAGGCGGCTACTGCTGGCAGCCATCGTCAGCTGACTAGGATTAGGACACCTGCTTCAGCTGGGGCAGCTAACTCTCGGGCCCTCTGACCGGCATGCAGGATGCATCCATTACACTCCCTGTCACACAGGGCCTTCCGCATATGCCTACTGGAGATGATACTACTAACCGGCATCACGTGCAACATCAAGGCGTGCTCCATGCGCATGGGTGGGAACAGCATGGCGGCTGGCCCAGGAGGGCAAGAGGAGCTGTGCCAGGTGCATGGCCAGTGGCACTATAGCGTGCGCAGCACTACATGAGGCGCGACACAGCAGCCAAACTCGAAGTCTCCCGCCGACTAGGCCTCACTGGTAGGTGGTTCTCTCTTTCAGCCTGTAGTGTAAGGGCCCTTGGCAGCCAGTCTATGCTCCCCTTTTCTGCTCATCCACGGCACGATCGGTACCAGCCAGCTTCGGCAGAGCCACGAGATTACAGGTCACGGGAGACATGGCCACAGAATTGTTGGTCTCCGCCGGGGTTGGGTGGGGAATTGAGAACTTGCTTTGCAGTTGATATAAGAGGAAGAGGTTCGGAAGTTAGCTTAAGCGCACAATAGCTGCGGATGTTTTCCAAGCTTTTCGCCAGGAAATTCCTGTCGCTTTTCATTTGACAACCCGCGAGCTTAAATTGACAGGTAATTGGCGCAAAGAGGAGCAGAAACATGTGCAACGGCTATTCATTGAAAATTAAATTATAAGGTTTGGGAAGTTGGATTTACATATGGAATGCTTGACAGTGCAATGTCGGTGCCGGTTGGCTGCAGTCGCAGCGCCGAGTCGCACACCCCTGCCGTATGGCAGTTTTTCCGAGTCGCGAAGAGTCGCAGTGACGTTGAGATGTCTCGCTGCTCGCAGCACGCTTGTTTTTCCTGTAAAAGCGTCCAATTTTCAATTGTGGTGAAGATATCCTTGTGGATTCATGCGAGTTCCTGTCCCGCAAGGCAATCCAGGTTGCCTTGCAGCGCGACTGAATGATGCGCACAGTGACACATGTGCGACAAGTCCAGCAGAAGATTACAGCACCGTTCATATAGGGAATAGCTACACCCAAAGTGGCGTCCCACAATACGTGCGGTTAAGTGACCTGACGTAACGCGCCAAGCTGGCGTAACCCTTTCGATTACGGCTCCACCGCCGAAGTAGGATTTTTCGTAAGCGAAATACAATTCATGACCTCAAAGCACTATTAATCAACGTGGACTAATTAACTTTCATATGCTTGCGTAAGGTGGGGTTATGAGAGCCGATGGCAACTCAGTCGCTAAAACTTTAGTTGAGGCAGCCCATAGTCCTTTCATTCACCATATGTTGCAGCGTGTTAAGACCTACCCCAAGCGCCAGCTTTGTTTACAGTTACAACGGAATCGCAGAACGTTGGCCATAACGCGTTCCCGCTCAGTATTGTAAATTAAGAGAGCTTGAGGATTTTTCATGTAGATAAAAATTATGCATGCAAGTACTTTAGCCCTGTTACGCCACGCGATAACGTTGGCCAAATCAGGGTGATTACTTTTGTTGCGTTATGCCGTAACGTTATGCTCAAATAATAAACTTTGTAATACGGTGAGGAAGAGACGTTTATTTTGAGGGTTAATGCTTATTGGGTTGTCGCCGCACTGTACCTGCTTTCCGAACACAGTACTCATGGAACTACGGCAGCAGTTCCAAGCAACATACCGTAAGTTAACGCCTTCAATATTATATTACATAATACTATGGTCTTTGTAAGAAGCCTAAGCTTTGATCTTGTAGGGCCTTGAATGCAAGCCGGTTATGATATACCGGAGGTTCTGCATATATTGCTGCAAACATGTGAGCTTGTCGTAAGAAGCTGCATGCTTTTCTAAGGCCCTGGTATTGGGAGTGCGGCAGAATGGCACATCTCTTGGTGGCCATTGCGCTGCTGGTCCTCCAGCAAGCCATGGCAGAACCTTCATGCAACAACGATAGTAGCATGGGGAGCTTGTGCGTGGCGTCGCTCGTCAGGGACCTGCTGGCAGTGCCCGGGTAAGGTCGTGGTCATCTTTCAGCCACTGGACAGCAGCAGAACAAGAATCAGAATCAACGCAAATTGCTGAGCTGCCAATATCAGGGTGTTAATGCAACGCACCGGGGACTCCATTCCAAATTTGGCGGACGCCTTGCTGGGCGGCTTAGTCAGTCTTGCTGGGCGGCTTGCCCGTTGATGGCAGGGGAGCTCTGGATCCCAGCCTGGCCCTAGCCCGCAAGGGATGAGGAGGGGAATGGAAAAAAGCCTCAGCGCGATGGGAAGAGGGCTCGGGGAAGAGGGCTCGGGGGAGGAACAGAGTGGTAAAGAGCGAGAAGGAGGGAAGGGTAACGCTACAGAACCATTGCAGCACATTGTTCCTTATGACTGGAACCTGGCTAAGCAGGTTGCGGCGATGGGGGTGGGGTTGCGGGCGTAGGAATCTGCAGCAGCAGCACCTCCTGCCCATCGTTCCCCTCAGCGTGTCCGCACTTAGTCCCGCACCCAGCCACCTGGTGGAATCCGAAGCGGCGCTGGGGAAGTTGGGCATCCTGTGTCAGGGATATCAGGGGCCTTCTTCTATGGCCACGAATGCAACGCTGCCGCTAAATTTCGACAGCATCCCCTGGGCACTTCCCCCCCTCCCGCCATCCATGCAGCTGTAGTAAATCTCCCTCCACATCCCCGCTTCCTGTGTGGAAGGAAGTGCGCTTGGCAGCAGCAGCAGCAGCAGCAGCAGCAGTATCAACAGCAGCAACAGCACCAACAGCACCAACAGCAGCAACCGCAACCCATCAAGCTTATTTCAGGGGATCCTGTGTGTCTTTGGTTTTGCATTTCACTTCGCGCATGGCTTTCCAACCAGTTGTACATCTTGTGGGTCCTTTTGCATCCTCAAAAGAGGTAGAGAGGAGATCAACCGCCCGCACAAAAGAGAAGTAGTCTCTAGTTTCACGTTCTTGTTCATGTTCGTGCTTCTGCTGCGGCCCGTTGTGCCCTCCCCCGTCCCAGGCATTCGCATTAGTGTCGTGTGCGTTATCTAAATCATAATCATGCATGTGTGTGTGTGTGTCTGTTGTGTGTGAAATGTTTCGCATTCACGGCTTGCTCCGTGTCCTCGTAGGCTCAAGGTCAACCCGAGTACGGAGCTCCGAAACAAGGTGGAGGATGCCGTGGAGGGCTTCCTGGAGCAGTGCCTCAACATACGCGTGGCGCCGGTGCGGGTGAGGTGTTTCAGACGGGCGAAGCTGGCAGTCGTGGGTGGGAAATCTAATGACCCCCACACCAACAGAATACCCAAATTTCCAAGCTTTGTCCCTGATATCCTTTGCGAGTAGCGAGTATCCTTTCTACCCTGATAAGGCTACTAATCCTACTAATGCTACTCATGCTACTCATGTTACTAATGCAGCTGCTACTGGTAATGGTGTTGCTGCGGGGGGTCTTGGGCTCTTGGCCTGCCATAACCGTGCCGTGCCATGCCATGCCACCTTACGTACCTACTCATCGTGCACATGCGCCCGTCACGCCTAGCTGTGGGCTTTGTCATAACGTCGCCAGCCTAGACCGACCCTGTACTTGGTTCTTACCTGCTTACCTACTCACCCTCCCACTCAACCCCCCCACACTGACCCACACACCATCCCAGCCGGTCAATCTCCTGCTGCTGGAGCAAGCCCGGGACCGCGGCGCCTACTACTTGAGCGACCTGGTTCTGTCGCAGCTGGGCTTCCGGCTGAACCTAACCTTTGCAAACATCTTTGATGTGGGTTTCGGCTTTCGAGCCAGGTCTCCGCAGTTGACAGTTAGGAGTTGGGCGTTCCCTCCCTGTCGTACATCCCGCAACGGAATTGTGTCGATGTTGCGAAAGGCCGTACCCGTGACTCCGCGTGCTAGTAGGGTTCTTTGGGGGTGTGGTGCGGCCGATGCGTGCGGGGTGGTAATTTCTGAAAAAAAAGCAAGTACGGCATATCTATGGGCAACGATGAGGCTAGTTTCGGGGCGAATACGGCATTGTAGAAACCGGCATTACATTGTTATATGAAATTACAGGAGGAAATTTTGGGGGTCACCTGGGGATTGCCTCATTCCTCTTGAGAGGTACGTAAGGGCAGTCCAAGCGTACGGGAGAGCGTTGCAAAACGTCCTCTGGAAGGCGTGTTTTACCGGAGGGGAGTTGCGTAGCACAACCCCAAGGCCTCAGACAGCTCGTGATACAGGATGTACTCCCATTCTTATTCCCCCCTCTTCTACCTACACACATACACAGGCATACACACCTATGACCGCCGAACAATGTAGGCCTCCCCTACCTCCCACACCCCTATTTCTCCCCTCCCGCTCCCCCTTCCCCCCTTCCTCTTCCACCCCGACACTCATCGGGACCTCCGGGGCCTCGCACCTCATGGGAACCCTTGCCTCCGTCCCTCCCCGCATCACCCAACGGGGACAAACCGACTACAGTTGACGCCAACGGTTGTTTCCAGCTTCCGAGCCCCTGGGGGTCCCTTCCTGGACGGTTTCAGCATCGACCCTTCCGCAGTTGTGGATCTATCTGAGGTGGATGCGCTGGCACCCCTGGAGAAATTTGTGCTCGAGGACCCTAAGATTGCCTGGGCGGATGTACTGCCGTTCTTTCGCCAGGTACGACAAGCGACCCGGTACGACATTGGTGCGAGAGACTACATGACGTCGCCATACGGGCCTGGAGCCGTTTGCTTCTAGGGACCCCCACGGGCCTGGAGGACTTGCCGCACATCATCTTGGTGGTGGTGGATGTATGGCTGTGTGGTTGCTTAACTTCATGGTAGCTTTGGCCGCTTGGACGATGATGGACTTAGTGTTTGTTGTCATTAGCGTCACGTTATTACCGTGCCCCATTCCTCTCATCCCCCTCTTTCCCCATTCTTGCATCATTTTGCTGTGTTTACTTCCAGCTCCGTGAGCCTCAACGCTTTCCCTCTTAACTCGTTTTGTATTTAAGAGCCGTTCATTGCCCGGCCATGCGTATTTATATGTTTAACCGACCCAACCCGTATTGCCGTACAGGTAGCCACCATATACGACGGCCACCTCATAACCGTACCCTTCTCAGGCCAGGCCAGTGTGCTGTATTACAGGAGGGTGAGAGTTGGGCGCACGGGGGCTTGGGCAGGTGTGGGGCTCAGGGGCCGGGGGGAGGGGGTTATGCAGGGCACCCCTCACATCCCGGCCCGCAAAGATTCACACTGTAGTTTGTTCGTTAATTCGTTAATTCGTTAGTTCGTTAGTTAGGTCCTAACTGAGCATTGTCCCCCGTATCTGCCCCCCTTGTCCCACCTTCTCCGGACTTGTGTGACGGCAGTCGGTGTCGTTTGGACGTGTTGATAGTTGCTTTCGCATCGTCGTCACCATCATCATCATCATCATCATCACTATCATCATCATCATCATCACTATCATCATCATCATCATCATCATCATCATCATCATCATCATCATCATCATCATCATCATCATCATCATCATCATCATGGCTTTTGCGCCATGTGATCCCTGCCCCCCACTCCTCCCGCCCTTGTCCATCCCGTGCCCCCTTGCCCCCCGCAGGACGTGTTGGCGCAGTGGCAGTTGCCTCCCCCGGCCACGTGGGAGGACCTCTTGTACGCCGCCAGGATGATAAACGGCTCCGATATGAACGGTGATGAAGTGGGGGATTACTCCATCTGCTGGTGAGGGTGGGGAAGAAGGGTCCGGGGGGAAGGGAGGGGGGGTCAGGGAAGGGGACCGATATGCTGTGTTTAGAGATGTACTGGTTGGGCGTGTCGCGGCACTATAGTACTAAGCCGTTTTCGCCGTTGAGCAGAAATAGGCAAGGATACGGCAGAAGGAAGCTAACCCCCGTCCTTTGAAGGGGGGGTGAGGGATGCGGAAATTGCGGAGGAAAGCGGAGGAGGGAAGGAGATGGCAATGACAGTGGTGGTGGTGGTGGTGGTTGGGAGGGACTGGGGGATGGGTGGGAGGGTCGGGTGGGGAAAGCACCCGATCAAGACATACAGCCTAGGAACGGGTACGACGTGTTGCAACGACGTTATGTCCGGACAGAGACGTGCAACAACCGGCTCTGACCTGCAGCGCTTCATGGCCCCCCTGTCTGTCTAGCGGCATGCCCCTGCCTCACACGCTCATGTACACGCACACGCAAACGCACACATACATGTACACACATACTTACATACTTGCACACATACTTGCACACATACTTGCACACATACGTACACACATACTTGCACACATACGTACACACATACTTACGCACATACGTACACACATACTTACGCACATACGTACACACATACTTACGCACATACGTACACACATACTTACACACATACGTACACACATGCGTACACACATGCACGTGCACACACAGGCAAATGGAGGACTGTCTGGAGGCGCCGGTGCTGCTGGTGCAAGTGGCGGCGCCCTTCTTGCAGTCTATGGTCAGTATGGTGGGGTGGGGTGGGGTGGGGCTATGATATTTTAGTTAGGTATGTCTTATGCGCCGGGTGCATGAACTTAACCCCCCCCGATTGAGGCGCCTTTCCTGTGTCCCCCCGTCGCCCCTTCACCCTCCTGACATCCATCACACGATTAATAAAGCAGACCACGCACCACACCAGGCCACGTACCCTCACTCGGCTATGTGTCGTTACATGTACCGATCCGGGGGCCTGACACTGGCCAGGGGCAACTAACCGTGGTATCCAACGGGAACGACCGCCGAAGCACTCTCCTCCTTGTGGGGGGAGAGGGGTGTGAGGGGCCACTATCCCCACCTGCTCGACAGAGGGCATGCAACCCCGCGTTTCCCCTTTTTGTCAAGAGGAAAGAGAGCGCCCTCAAACAAACAATCTTAGCAAGTGCTGCGGCACAGTTCCGCCCCTGCAGCCTGCGCCTTGAGCAGGCGCGCGGCTGCGCACCCCGGGTCCTTGCAACACTCGGGCGGTCCTCCTCCCCGGGAGGGGCTTACACGGGCCCCAAACTCATCACTTGGCCTTTTCCTTCTGGCGATGTTGTGATTCCGACGCTACCTCTCTAAACAACTTCGTCATTCGTAATAACGTCGTACAGCTACATGAGGTTGGCAATTGGCAGATAGCGGTTGGTGGTGAGGACATGTCGATGGGTTTCCTTTCCTAAACCCCACTCCCTTCAACTTCCAACCACCAACTATCCCAACGACCCCCATACCGCGCACATCAGTCTAGAGCTGTCATTGGTGTCTTTTCATTAACTTTACCCAACCAATCCAACCACCGGACACAGCCTCAACCACCACCATCATCAACAACAACAACCAAACTGGGTTGATATCTGCAGTGAAACTGATGAAATACGTTTTACTTGTTTCGTGTCGTGTATCTATTTCCCCTCCCTCCATCCTTGTCCCCATCCCCCCCCATCTCCCTCTCTTAAAGGGCACTGGTCAGGGTTGGATGTTCGACCCCACCGACATGACCCTGCTGCTCAACAGCACAGCCATGATACGGGCCATGGAGCTGCTCCGGGAGCTGCAGGTAGCTGTGTGTGCGTATATATATATATATATATATATATATATATATATATATATATATATATATATATATATATGTATATATATATGTATATATATTATATATATATATACATATATATATATATATGTATCGATGCACCTGAGCATGTGAGCATCTGTTACATGTACCGATCCGGGTGCCTGACACTGGCCCGGGGCAGCTAACCGTGGTATCCAACGGGAACGAGGGGCCGCCGAAGCACTCCATCACTGGAGGGGCGTTATATCGGTCAGAATCCTAACCGTTCTCCTTTATCAACCAAGGCGCCGTCACCTGTTCGAATCCTCAAGCCAGCTTCATGCACTAACTCATATGTCAAGCAACCCCTCCGTTCCACCGAACGCATGCTCTACAGCTGCGCGACCTGCCAATGCACTCACACCCAACGGTGCGCCAATCGCCATCCTATCCTTGCGAATCCTGCCGCCGCCGCCCGGTTACGTTATCCAACCACCACATGGAATACAGCCCCTGGTCCAGGCCCTATGCAGAACTATTCCCCCGCCACTGCTCTGCGGCAGTGTGTAGGTCTTCATGGTGAGAGCTCCCCCTCCAGCCGCCCAGCGCACCGGAGGAACCCAGCGTCTCATCTCAGCCTTCATCACCCCCATCGACTTCACCCGGGGAGGGGGGGGACCAGCGGTGGGACCCGAACCCACATCTTCCGATAAACTATGTTTGTGTGTGTGTGTGTGTGTGTGTGTGTGTGTGTGTGGATGTGCGTGTGTCATCGCGGCTTAGACCATCAAACGCATACTCTACATTGTGCCCCTGTACGCCACTCTTTGCCTCCTCGCTCCCTTTCCCCCTCCCTCCACAGAAACTGACAGCACCAGGTCTGGGTTGTAATTTAGTTCATGTCAACTTCATCAACCGCACATGCGCTTTCACGATAAAGTGGAGCGAGCAATTCAAGGTGCGGGGCGTTTTCGTTGGTATGTCGTACGTTGTCGTACCGTGTCGTACCATGCGTATGTGTTTTACTCAGCAAGGAAGTGTGCGATCCCCTTCCACCTCCTCAGCCTCCCCTACCCCTCTTCCGCGCAAGGTGTATTTATCCGCCCGCTGCCCTTTCCCCTATTTCCCGCACCCCATTATTTCTCACGCCCTTTACCTCCTCCGCCTCTCCCCCCATCCTCCAACCGCCAACCGCCAGGGCACTCAGTTGTATGGTATGGAGGGTCTTGTGGGAGTTACCCAACTTCCGGGCTCAACAGAAGTGCTCAACCGAACCACGGGGCGGTTGGAGCGGTGTACGGCAATCAACTGCCCACACGCCACCAACGAAACTAGCATGGTGGCTGGCGGAAAGGTGGTCCTAGTCAACCGCGCGCCGCACTTTGGATTTGGCGGCTTCGGGGGTGAGTGTAGCGGGTCAGCCTGCGGTATGTACGTGAGGGTGAGAACATGGGAGTGAAGTTTTGTGGACACTCCATCTATGCCGCGCAGCGTGTCACACAGCGGTTCGGCTCCAGACAGACTTTGCTGCCACTGCTGTGCGTATTCTTCCATGGATGGATGGATGGATGGATGGATGGATGGATGGATGGATGGATGGATGGATGGATGGATGGATGGATGGATGGATGGATGGATGGATGGATGGATGGATGGATGGACGGACGGATGGATGGATGGATGGATGGATGGATGGATGGATGGATGGATGGATGGATGGATGGATGGATGGATGGATGGATGGATGGATGGATGGATGGATGGATGGATGGATGGATGGATGGATGCCAAATCCATTGATCCACACATTCATTGATCCACACACAAAAAACACACAAAAAAAAACACACACCTGTTTCTCCTCGTTCTTCCCCCTCTCCCCCCGGCCCCTCCCAGGCGAAAAAACACACGCACACATAGAATATTTGTACTTATAAACATATATACATACAAACAACATGCGCAGGTGCGGCACGCAAGGGCATCGACCCCGGCTACCAGACCGCCATCTATCAGTTCTTCGCGAATCTGGCGGGACCTGAGCTCAGCTGGGAGGTGGGTCGTGCTTAAGAGAACATCGCCCGCCAACATGTGTGTCTGTCTGTATGTATACGTGTATGTTTCCATCGCACCACCTGACGCACGGGGGCCTTATACCATCTGACGGGGGCTGCGAGGGGCGGCACATCTGACACATAAGACCGACCTGGCACTGGACCTGGAGGAGGCGGAGGAGGAGGGGGGGGATAGGGGTGCGAGATGGGGGGCCCCTCTCCCCTGGAGCCCGAGTAACGGAAACGCAGCGTACACCTGTATGTATGCACATCTATGTATGCGTACTGTGTATTGTGCTGTGTGCATCAGGCGGATGCGGATTTTTGGCTCCGGAAAGCGGATTTCCAACCATTTTGTAAATCCCTTTGAAAATATGTTTTTTATGGTCCTCTTAAGCGAAGTGCTGCTGTACCTGTGGCTTTTTACATGTCGTCTCGTGGATGGAGGACGGAAGATATTCCTTGATATGTGATCCCCCTTTTTCCGCAAACGTCCTTACGTTCACCCGCAGTTTGTGCTGGACCTCCAATCGCCCGTGGGCCCTTTCCGCCAATCCCAAGTGGATGTGAACGACGAAACCAATTTCAAGAGGTCTGTCTGGCGGGGAGGCGATTTTGTTTGTTGCGCGTGTGTGAGTATCTGTGTGTTGTCAGTGCTGTTAGTGTTGATGCGGTGTTACACTGTGGGCGGCTCGTCCCGAGCACCGGGGGCCCTGACCGGGCCGAAACACAGCGCAGGGGGCTCCACTACACACTCAAAAGCCGAGGCAAGGGGAAGACCTCCCCACGCCAGACACGGCCCCGCAGAAGACTCTCCTAGCCAAGGACACCCACGCAGCCTAGTGCTGTTAGTGCTCCTAGTCTATATGGCACCAGTTATTGAAATTGTTCAGTGAAATTTGTCGTGAAATATGCTCCGTACGTGTTTTTGCAGATGGACGGATCGCGGTTACCATCCTGGCGCTACCCGGGACTTCCTGACCGCCTGGACAGCCTCCATTCGCAACCCCAACGTGGCGCTGGACATTCGGATCCGTAACTCGTTCTTGTACAGGTACGACAGTGCTAGTATGTTTAGTGTGTTTGTTTAAATAAACTGAGCCACGACGCGTAAGAGTTGGAGTTGTCACGTGCATAACTGCACTAAAGCGTGTCATCCAGTGGTAGGGGTACCCTAAGGTCTTACAAAGATATTGATATGGAGGATGACATATATCGGCAAACGCTTCGGGAGGTTCGGGTCGTACCGAAACTCCCGAAAACAGAAATAAGAGTTCCCGAAGCCGGCTGGCTTGCAGGAATAGGATCATACGCCGTAGACGAAAGGTGGTATGCGGCCCGAAGGGCCGCCCGACAACCTAAGTCCGACAGAAATAGACCCGTTCCCGAAACCAGAAATACCTCGTTTGCCTGTATCTGGAGGATGATGCCAGAGCGCGTAGATTAGGCGTCGTTGTAGCAGCGGTAACCACCACAACCAACCCAACTGCCCTGGCCAGTGTATCTGAACTCGAGCGCATGTTGACTCATAAATGCCTAAATGCCAATCCACCTACCAATGCGTCCCACTATGTTCGTCTGTACGACGTCCGTACGACACCACAGGCGGATTCTATCTGACGCCGCCGCCGCGCTTCTTACGGATGCCACCCTGGAGTCCATTCTCGCAAACCTGACGTCGCAATTTATGGCCGTACTGAATAGCAGTGGGAACCTGAGTGCGGTGGGTACGGCAGGAATGAGGGGGAAAGAGAAGAAGGATGGGGAGAAAGGTGGGGAACGGGGGGAGGAGCCCGGCGGAAAGAGGGAGGGATATCGTTGGGAAACAAAGGCCGCGCGCGAGGTTAGGAAAAAGATAAGTTACAATTTTGTCTCTTGCGTAGTGGCGAACCAGCGTCAGCTGACGCGGGAGTGCGTTTTTTGTGGGGCCATGGAGGAGAACGGGAAGAGAGATGGATCGCTTGATCGAATCCCACGCCCGCCTTACATCTTGAAGATTTTTGTTTTGCTTTTTTGTTGTGCTTTGTTTCCCTCCCCCTTCCTTTCCCGCGCCATCCAACACTCTCACTTTTGCAAGCCCGCAACCACCCTCTCCAACCGCCGTCTCCAACCACTCTTCCATCCGTTACTTGCTTCTTGCATATAACTTCCCATTCCTTACCTGACATTCACCTCCTCTTTCACCACTCCGTCCCACTTGCCCCCAGATTCAAACCGGTTACCGCGCAGCTCTGGGCTACATAACGAGCACTGAGTCGCCGCGGAAAGAAGGGGACGACTCCCAGCACAGCTCGAAGCCGTGCTGCCTGACGAGCTCCCGACGGGATCTGCAGACCACCCTGCCTGTAGCGCTGGTGGTGATGGTGCTGCTGCTGATGTTGTCGGGATACTGGCTGTGGTGTCGAGCTCACAGGTAGGAGGGGGGAAGAAGAGAGTGGGACGGGGTCGCGACGCGTAAAACAAAGCACGTACGGTACGTACATACATACGAGGTACGTATGGTGCGTGCGTACGGTACATACATACGGTACATACATACGGTACATACATACATACGCTTTGGTGGTTTCGCCGGACTATCCCGGGCCCCTGCAGTGGTGATCAGGCTTGTGCGGGATCCCTTTTCTTTATAAGGCTACTTCTCCCCTGGACCAGCCCAGGAAGGGACAGGTGGTGGAGGTCAGTTGTTTTAAGGTGGTTGCAAGACGTCTTGTGGTGTCGAGCTCTCTTAGCCTTTCTCTCTTGGAGGTTTTTTGTTGGCCTGTTAGGTATATCAGGAGCCCTCCCCTGCCGGGACTGCCCTAACCGAATTTTTGTTTGTTTGTTTGTTTTCCCTTCGAATCCCGTTTTCGTTGGTGGTGTTTTGGGGGGTTGTTTCAGAGAGCCTTTGACTTTGCCCTAGCTGAGACTTGTGGACTCGCTCTAGCGGGACCTGAGAGCCCTTCGTGGTGTATTCACTGCAGCGCCATCCCCGGATGGAGGGGCTGCGGAGTGGCTGTGTAGGGTGTTGGCAGTCTGAGTCGGGGTCGGGAGCACACAAGACTAACCGACGTGTGCTGTGTGCTCCCGACCCTTGCGCTGTGTTTCGGCTTCGGCCCCCGGCTCTCGCGGCCCACAGTGTAATCTAAGTCATACGTACGTACATACGTACATACATACATACATACATACATGCATACATGCATGCATACATACATACATGCGCACACATTAGCATCGTCATTGTCCGTCATCAAATTGCACCGTCGTACTCGCACGTTGCTAGGTGGCTCTGTTGGGGCTACTATGCGCCGCGATGGTGTTCACGGCAAAGAAGATGGTGCCCTCAACCTCCTGACATACGTACACACACGCACCGATACGTACACACGCGATTGTCAGTGTTTATTTGTTTGTGTGTATTTGTTTTATATTCCCTCCCCACAGGCGCAGTCTCCTTGGCTCCCCCCTGGCCCCCAAGCCCCGCCCCGAAACCACCCTCTTGGTAGCCACCCTGCCTGATCTACCCGCCCTCCTGAGGGACCTACCCGAGCCCATCATGATCCGGTGGGACTTTGTGAGGAGGGAGAA